CAAGGTCTGTGTTCGGGCCTTGCTCGACTTTGGAGCTGATTTAGTTCAGGTCCTTATCTGACTCTGTAATTGTTACTAAAAAAACGGACAGTAATTCACATTTCTGTTTTCTTCGGCAATCAGGATTAACTTTTCACTGAAAAACTAAATAATATGAGTACATTTGGGTTCATCTGTTTCCCTCTGGCAACTTTGGAAAGGGCATCTCAAAACAGCAGCGCATGCACAATAATGAAGAGCTTTGTTTCCCTGAGTCACATCCAAAAATGCTGCGGTGTGTGAAACAGAGTTCGTTTGAGGATCTGCAAATGTTTCATTTTCTATCACTATCGGTTGAACTAAAGTAAAATGTGAACTTTACCATTCTTAGGGGTAAAATCCATTAAGCACTTCTTGGCAAAATAGAAAGCAATGCTGGAACACAATTCTTCCTAAGACATCTTTGTTCTGTATGAAGACAATTTTAACACAACTGATCTATTTCAACACAGACTCACTGCAGGCGTGTCCTTCACTGCACTGAATGTATGACAAACACTGAAAGGAGGGTAAATAAATAAATATTTAGAAGACGATCTATACTGACACCTTGTGGAGAAAACCGATAATACAGTCCCAAAAATACTTCTGTAAGGATGCTTCCGTTCTAAAAGCATTTAGACCTGTTAAAATAATGTAATGTATACAGAAATTGACTGTAAAATCAAGACTTAGGCTACTACTGTTTTTATTGAAAACACACAGCTCTGGACTAACAAAATTAACTGTGATTAATTTAATATGACTATAGCATCTCTGTTTCAATAAAGGGATCATATGATGGTTCTTTAACGGATGCAATGTTTTTACGCTGTTTTAGGTTAAACAAGGTCATTATTTTACACACAGCACATTATTGTTGATGCTACAGTAGTTGCTAGCTTCTCCCTGATCCTTATTTCACTATACAGATTAAAGGGTTGTGGAAATTAGAGTTCACATACTAACCAGGAAGTGACAAATAAAATAAAGTTCTGTATCAAAATTTATAGGCAAGACAAGTAGTTTGTTTTGTCATGGTTTGTGGGAATTACAAACCTGGGCACATATATTCAAACTAATGCTGGACAACGATTAATCGCATCCAAAATAAAAGTTTGTGTTTACATAATACATGTGTGTGTACTGCGTTTTTATGTGCGTATTTATAAATACACACATGCATGTATATATTTAGGAAAATGTGTTATATATGTATAATTTATATATAAAATATTAATATAGTATAAATATACATACAATATCTTGCACATTTTTCTTAATGCATGTGTGTGTATTTATATATACAAAATAATTATACGCACTACACACACATGTATTAGGTACACACAAACTTTTATTTTGCATGCGATTAATCGCGATTAATCATTGCCCAGCACTAATTCAAACGCACTTACAATCAATACTTAATGCGCATGTGAATCAGCATTTATCACAGGTTCGCGATTAAAGTCTGTTTAGAGAGAACGGTGTCAAAGCGTCCCCTGATTTAATAACAAATGATCATTTTACCGAAAGTTAATCAATCAAAACTAACTTTAGCTGGAAAATAACATTATTCAAGAACTGCTATAAAACCAGACGAATATAATTATATTAAAAGGGTTAGTTCACTCAAAAATGAAAATTCTGTCAGTATTTACTCACCCTCATGTTGTTCCAACCCCGTAAGACCTTCGTTCATCTTCATTAATATATTTTTGATTAAATCTGAGAGCTGGATCACTCCTCCATAGGCTTCTTGAGGAATTGAAACTTGCCGGCCTCAAAAAGTTATGAAAGACATTCTTATAGTGCGACTGACTACAGTGGCTCAATCTTAAGTTTATCAAGCGACGAGAATACTTTTTGTGCGCAAAACAAACAAAAATAACGACTTTATTTCAAATATTCACTTCCTTCTCTATGGGCCTCTAGTGAGTGATGGCGTAGAGCTATGTCACATGTAGGCTCACTATTGACCAACGCTGGTCATGTGTGTGATGTGTGTAACGTACATAACAGAAGCTTACGCTATTAAACTAGTATCCTGAATCGAGGCAGAGAGGCCAGTAAGTTTGCATTTGCATGGAAAACAAGGAAATCAAATGATCCCTTTAAAAAAAAGGGTCATAAATACAAAATAAATATTGAAAATATTGGACAAAGGTTGTGAAGTCAAAGAACCACTGTTCTAAATGGGCTATATTTGTATACACACGCACATAAGAATGAATCTAGAGAGAGAGAGATGTGTGTGTGAATTGGGCCTGCCTACCTACTAATATATATAGGCTATAGCCTACACACACACACACACACACACATTATATATACTGTTATACATAATGTTCAATATGATGGCTGTACACTGCTAAAAATGGTATTGCCATTTACAGTTCTACTTCCACAAAGAAACCATTGAACTGTTTCCGTGCACAAAAGATTGTTTGAAAATTTTTTCGATTATTAATGTTCCTTACACCAATAATAATAATAAAAATAAAAATGGTTCTTTTAAGAACTGATAACTGAAAATTTCTTTGGGAGGCCCAAAATGGTTCAAAATGTATGTCCCGACTTTCTGATAATTTGTTTCCTCTAAAATGTATACACATTAGCTGGACCAACCTGAAAATTACTGCAAGTGATTTGAGCATAAGAAAAGTAAGATATTTTATCTCGCAGAAATGAAATACACTAAAGAATGAATCATGAAAAACACGTTTTGGACATTTCAGTCTTTGCCACTTCAGTCTTTTAAGCAGAGGTTTTCCTTGCAGATTAAAGTAAGCTGACTGGGAGGACAATACTTTCTCAATCTATGACACAGCTCGTCTGTACTTCCCTGTTTATAAAGTATAATCTATATTGTGAAAATGAAAGTTAAATTTGCAGATCATGTGTTATGAAATTGGCATAACATTCATTCATCACTCCCATTGCGAGAGTTTTAATAACGGTATGTTTCTTATGAAAAAAGATACACTCAGACACAGAGTGTAGGCGTTTGTGCAGCGCCCCTGCTGGAGTGCATTGGTAATAACTTTATTGCAAAAATACAAGTTCACTCAACCTCAAGCATTTACAAATGAGTCCCGAAATGGAAAACCCTTGAAATGCCATTTCATCTTCGAGAAATCCACCTCTCACTGGCTACAACTCGCATTCAAAGGCTGTTAACTGTACAGACATTAATAAGTAAAGATTCAACAATTCAGCAGAAAATCATTTTCTTCCTCAGTATATAGGAAAAGAAAAGAAGAAAAAATATTTGATTTTGTCCCAGTCTGACTCTTTGCTGGTAGATCAGGAGAGAGCATTTTTGCATAGCATACTCATACACCATCGTTGCTACATTCTCTATAACATCCTTTAAACAAAAGGAAAGATGAATAGGCTAAATGATCAAAAAAACAACAACATATCTTTGTGTTAGAGCCAATCTTTGGTTAAGATAAAGTTAAATAAGATCTATTTCTCTTGAAGTTATATATTTTATAATCAATTTTATTTTAGCACTCAAAGGCTTTTAATGGAAAAAAGTACAATATGATTGGAATTAAAAGTTAAATACTGCATCATTTATATTATATTGTGATCCGACATCTGTTGGTCAGTATTAGGTTTTCGTTAATATATCCCATAAATCTTATGTTTATTTGAATAACAGTATGAAAGCATTCCTTGCACAAGGCCACTTATATACTGTCCAAATTTCAGTCTAGTAACGCTCTGCATTTAAGCTTCATGTACACTATCAGGGCCAAAACATTCTTCAGCTGTGTTGCTTTAAAAGGAAAATCTAGAAACAATGTAGAAATCGAAACCCTCAACTATCAACTGAAGATCCATCATGCCAGACTCACGACTGTGGTTTCAGTGTCACTGCAAGTTAAAATAAAATCGAATCAAGTAAAACAAACAATGAAAAGAAAGCTTAACTTGGCATATCTCCCTGTATAAACGGGAGAACTGTCAATGGAATTAAAAAAGCAGAATTTCTCCAGCTTTACACTTCTGAAGTGTACTATACTTGTCTTAATGCAGATAATAATTATTACCACTAGAATTGATTAACATTCCATAACGTCATTACGTAGTTTCTCCATTCCTCTGTATATTTCTTAGGATGTCATAGTTTTTTTATTACCAATAAATTTATTTATTAGTGTATGTTCAGTCAAACATGTACACAGTCTTTGCCTGTAACACGAGACACAAAACAGTTGTGTGCTACAGGGAATGCCCATATCAGAGAAGTAGGAGGAAAAAGGTTAGAAGAGACAGTCTCGTTCTGTTCTCCACGCCAGGGCCGCAGATTTACATGCCTGCTCCGACAAAAATCACCAGAGCTGAGAGATGACACCGTACAAAACATCTCTATTCACTTAGTACAGGATAAAGTACTTAGCATCTACATGACATTAACCCACCCACTACCAAAAAAAAAAAAAGTTGGGAAAAATAATTCCGCAAAGCGACAACGATTTCCGGGACATTGGTTTGCAGAGGATTTGCATCTGTGGGACAGGCGAGGGAGGAAGGGAAAAGTGGGTTTTTTCAAACACTACTGGTCAAAAGTTTTCTTTTTTTAAATGTTTTTCAAAGAAGTCTCTTATACTCAGGATGTGTTTATTTGATAAAACCTAGTAAAATCAGTAATAATTGTGAAATATTTACTGTTTTCTTCTGTTGTACTGTTTTTGAAAATACATTTTGAATTATGGTTGCTGAATTTTCAGCAACCATAATTTCAGTCTTCATTGTCACATTGGTACTCGAGAAACAAAGTAGCACAACCGTTTTTAATATTGACAAGAAATGTATCTGGAGCAGCAAATCAGCATATTATAATGATTTATGAAGGATCATGTGACACTGAAGACTGGAGTAATGATGCTGAAAATTCAACTTGGTCATCAATGGAAAAAAAAGTTATTTTGAATTGTAATAATATTCACATATATTACCGTTTTATATTTACTGTATACAAATAGATATGGCTTTATTGAGCATAAGAGATGTCTTTCAAACATTAAAAAAAATCCAAATTATTCCAAACTTTTTACCAGTACTGTAAAAGTTAAAGAGGGCAGAGTTGCAATAAGCCCCTCCCCTTTTACTACCCAACACATGCACGCACGCATACACACAAACACACATTTACTGTTTAGTGCAGCATGGAGGTACAGTATGATTCTCCTCTGCAGTTAATTAAACATTTTAGTTAATTAAGTTAAGTGCTCTGGGTTGGATGGCTCACTGCGCGGGATCCGGGTCTGGACCCAACGCTCCTAACATTGCATGCTGCAGGTCCGACCATAGGTTAGTCATACACACACACACACACACCTGAGCCCCAAAGCATCACACCATACCAGTGCTTGTGGGAAGAAAAAAAAAGTTGGTTTCTGTGGCTCTTTCCAGCATGCTGTGGATCGAGTTTTGGGGGCTTTTGCGTGGAAAGAATTAGCGACTAGAGCAGGGTAATGAAAGAACATCACCCAAGGACCAATACATGGTGACTGAGGATGGCATCAGGTCTGGGAAGTGCTCCTTCCAGTTCTCCAAGAAACTGTGAAGAGAATGGGATTGGTGAGCAGAAAGGTCGTCCAGAAGAAGAAATGCATCGGTGGAAACCTTCCAGGGCTGGAGGACATGGTTGCATCCAAAGCCAATTGGTTGGGACACCTCAGTGCTGGACCGTAGTGCTTCCCACTGGAGACAGTTTGACGCCCGTCAAACACAGCCAGAAGCTTGGAGAACCTCTGGAGACGTCCTGCAGTGGGGTAGGATGGAGTGTGAAGGACAGGATCCAGACCAATCAAAGAAAAGAAAAAAAAAGCAACAACAAAAGAGGAGCTCCTTCAAACAGCAGTAAGGAAAATGAAGCAAATGCAGAATGTTTAGCAGGGTGGCCACTGGAGCCTGGACTCAAATGCAATGCAATGGCAGGAACATGAATGCGGAAAACAAGCGGGAAATGGCCATTTGGATGGAGGAGGTGGTCATGGAAATGGAAAACGAGAGTTAGCTTTACCTGGGACCTCTCTGCAAGGCCCAGGCTGCTGAGACAGAGGTGAAGATGATGGAAGGAGATGAAGATAGCTGGGCTGGAGCAGATGGAGGTCTGAATGAGACAATTGAAACTGAAGGCAACTAGGTGAGTACATGGAGCTGTGATATGGCGAAACCCCGGAGTCCCCCAGCTAGGTACACACACAAAACATACAGACATTGATATGCACAAGGCCGAGAAATCACACAAGTGCATTCAGTCAAAAGAGAGGAAAAGAGAGGGGAGAGAGGAAAAGATGGGGAGCACAAAAGTAAGGCATGAAAAGAATCAGGGGCCTCATTTATAAAATGCACATAAGATCAGATCTGATCCCAAATGAGGAACAAATTGAGATTTACTAAAGGGATAGTTCACCCAAAAATGAAAACTCTGACGTCATTTATTCACTCTCTTGTGGTGTCAACCCTCTGACTTTCTTTCTTCCTTCTATGAAACCAAAGAAGATATTTTGGAAAATGTGTTTTTTATTATTATTATTATTATTATTATTATATATTTGTCCATACAATGTTTTGTCACTGACTTTTATTTTAGGGACAACAACAGTTCCTTCTTCAAAATATCTTCACTTGTGTTCCACAGACGGTTTGGAATGACGAGAGGGTGAGTAAATGATGTCTGAATTTCCATTTTCCGGTGAACAATACTTTTAAAAGCAGAAACTGATGTGAAAATGTTCTTACATGAACAGCAAGCTGTACAAGCTATTTTGGTGCTCATGCACTGGTATGCCAGCCAGTACATGCAGACATGATTTAATAATGACTTTCAATGATGCAAGTGCAATGAGTGAATAAATGAATGAAATGAGTAACCACTTGTGTATGCTATCTTAATATGCAATATCAATCCACGTTCTGGACGCACAATACATACTGTATATATTTCAGATATCTTATTAAAATCAAATTTTATATCTTTGTTTTTTACAAACCTAAAAAAATAACATAACATAAATGAAATCAATAAATGCAATAATTGAGGGTTTGAATGACAAGGAATTATTTAATTAAATTATTAAGAATGAAAAACAAATTCTTCAATAGCTGTACACTCTCTTCAGGAGCTCTTTTCAACTCTTTTCAGAATGAAGGTTCAATTAGAACATGGCCTTAAAAATAATGTGCATGTAAACATGATGAATTAATCAATCTAAAATTAATAATAAAAATGTATCACTGACAGGATAATGAACTGAAAATGTAGATGCCGTACACAGTATGGGCTGAAATATTGGATGTACAGTAATAAGGTGGACCTAATACACCATATTTGATTAATTACTTCTTTCATATGTGCTCATTCATGTAAATAAAATTGAAAAATGATTAATAGAACATTAATCATTAATAATGGATAATAATGTATACAAATGTATTCATATTTGGAAAGATGATTACATGCATGTCTTTATAAATGGGACACCAGCCCTCCTTTCCAATGTAGTGAAGTTACAGGATATGGACACAGGATGGCAGTATGACTCAGTAAGACAACGAGAAGTTTTGCATGTTTGTGATTGCCTTCAATGTGTTGGTGCACATGGATGTCATGTGACAATCCAGTTATGCATGCATAATTTCCAGCATACAATACATATTAGAAATGATGAATGTCAAAACAACACTCAATGTACACCAAGAAGTGTGGAAAGCATGTAAATGAATATGAAGTGTAACCTGAAGCTCAGCAGTGATCGGCAAGGGTCAGACAGCACACATTTATCAGGCTAAAGTGGCAGTAGCTGCATGTTAGCAAACTCCTGCATAGGTGACATCGCTCTTATCAGGTTTCTAGGGCAGATATCTGATCCCTCACTCTCCTTTGGCCCTCTACCAAACTCTTGCCAGTCACTAGCCCAACTATTTTCCTCATATTTAGCCATTAGTTAGCCAGTCAGAGCTCCATTTAGTCTTATTCATGCATGGGGTACTTACGAAGCTTCGGGAGACAGCAAGTCGGTTTTGCCGTCTTCCTATCACAGTTCCACTCAGGCTGCGAGCAATACGGCGCAGGTGATCTGCATCATACTGGTCTTCCTCTCTTGACTGCAGCTCTTGATGGGCCACTGACAGGGACTACAGACAACAAAGAGTTAATGCAGCAAAAAAGAAAGTCTGGATGAAACCAGACACAACACCCAAACAAAATCAACACGTGCTAACAGATTGTGTGCTGTATAAAAAACAGACTCTGATGTGGAGAGAAACCAGACATAACAAAAACAAAGCAAAGAGACAGCAATCCCTCAGCAAATAATAAACTAACAAAATAAGTAAATAAAACCTAGATTATTTATACTAATGTTGGGTAGCATCTGCTGCTGCCCACATTCTGCATGATTTTAGCCCTTAATTTTGCACTTGTTAATGGAAAAGACACAAAAACCTGAAATCTAAAGCAAATGGGGAAATGATCCGATGTGATCCGACCTGTCGGCGATCTGCTGTATGTCCTGCAGTGTTTTGATTTGAATTGACATTAGTGACCAGAGATAAGTAGTGTAGTTAAAAAAGAGCTGCAATTTCAAAAAAATCCTATAGTATATGGACGACTATAGTATAGTATATAGTATATAGTATATAGTATCCTATAGTAATTAGAGACATGAGACTCCACGATAAATGAATGCAGAGAAAGAAAATTTGAATAATTTGAAAAAATGATTCTAGGTCAGTTTCACAATTAGACCTTCAGACAGGAGTGCAGCACCTCATTTCTTACCATGTTTGTGTATCCAGTAGGGCTGCTACAACCTGGTGGTCCATAAGCGGTTCTCTCAAGCTCAGCCGTGGGGGTTCGGGAACGTCCAACTCCAGTGAGCAGCTTACGTGCAGCAGGAGGTACTGTATGTGCGAGAAAATCAAGGAAGAGTCAGTGGATAAAATTACCAGTGCAACCGTTTAATGATTGCTTCTAAAATCTCTGTGAAGTCCAATTTCTAAAGGGGATTTAATATCTATTAAAGATGGGACAGTGCCCACTTTATTTGGACCAACTTGCTCCTCAGGATCACAACCTGTAAGTACGATTAATTATATACCGATATATATATATATATATATATATATATATATATATATATATGTATGTTTTTACTGGGTGTTCAAAATACCTATTTTTCTGTTTTATAGTGTGCAGGTCTCCGGCTTACTCACATTATTACTGTCTTACTGAAATGGTTCTGCTAATAAGATAATTTGAACCAACTATTACAGTACCTAAAATTGTGTCCATTAATCAAGATTGTCTGTTGTTGTTACTTTGAGTAATGATAAAGGATGGAGCAAGATTTGTTTTTACAAATTTGAATCTTACATCAGTCATTCACTTTAGTGGTCAACTAACATATGTGCTGTTATTGATAAAGTTCCCACATGTGCACTGCAATAAATTAGAAATATACACTTCGGTTTGTTGATGGATCATACACTTGTTAATGCTGATGGTGAGGAATTACACTTGCAACATCTCATAAAGTACATCAAACTGAGTAACGGATCACTGAGAGACGTCCTATTCAAGTCGTCCTAGCTGAATAACTAGCTCTTCCAATGTTTAATCATCGGTCTTGTGCTCGGATTGATATGCTAAAATCGACACCATCATTATACAGTGTATACAATCGCTGAGCTTTAGAAAGCCACAAGAGCTAAAGTTCAGTTACGGTAATGGGCGTTTCATTTCTGACACTCTAAAAGCAGTAGACCATCGAACAGAAAGGGGCATCTGGCCAATCAGAGCAGAGCAGGTTCGTGGAAAGGAGGGATTTAGAGACACTTAGAGAGATGTGAGAAGATGGGGTGGTGGAGGGATGCAGAAAACTGAAAGAAACATAAGTGAGTTGGCTGTGTATATATATATAGGCCTCCTACTGTACTGGGGTGTGTTTCCCGTACAATGACGTAGTTCACTGCTTCACTACATAGTACGATGCATCGTTGGAGAAATCAACTAGCTAGTCACGACTGTTTCCCGAAACCCCAGCCCATTCTCACCCCCAAGGCGTCACTTAACTGACGCCTTGGGAAGCATTTGGACATGCTTCAATATCTGACGCTTTAGGCGCCCTTTAGCGTCAGTTAGATGAGTTAGTCGAGAGCTGTCGTTCAAACCACACAACTTTTCGATGCTGTTTGCGAATGTTCGTTGGAACGATGGTTTCGGGAAACACCGACTCGTTGAACTATCTGTCTGCTGATAACGACGGAACTTGCGACCATAGTTGGCTAACGATGCTTTTGGGAAACGCACCCCTGATTAGATCAGTATGGTAGAAGATTTCCTCCTGAACTTTGTTAATAAAACATCATTAAAAGAACTGGACTTCGCCCACCAAAAAAAACAAAAAAAAAACAAACACCAAGACAATCTAAGACTTTAATTTACCTTGTCTCCCAACAGCAGGTGAGCTGGTACCACACAGGGCTCGGCCAGGACCCGGGCCAGCCTGGAGACTAGCCTGGTAGAGTGAGTCCAGTTCAGAGAGTTCCTGGTCCTCTGCCGCTGTGGGTTCCAGCTCCATGCTTTGGAAGTTTGAGTGCTTAGAGATGTTCTTCTTCCTGGTGCTAACGGGACTGTGAGGAGCAAGGTGTCTTCCAGATGTGTGTTGATAGAGAGCGGTTCCAGTCCGCTGGTTCTGGTCAGGTGGTGTGTCGTAGGGGGTGACGACAGCATCAGGGCGGTCTAGGCTCCAAGAGGACCAATGGCAGGCAGCAACAGGAGGGTTCAGTTTGGAGCATGGTTGGGAAGATGCAGACAGAGGCTGCCATATGGGGGCTCGTCGGGGCTTCGCCCCCTTCTCATCAACAGGGACAGGTGGTGGACTTGTGGCCCTGCTGGATTGGGGTATCCGGTCAAGACAATCTGCAGTGCCCTGCCACAAAGGAGGATTTGGAGATTGAGAGAACGAAGCTTGAGAGCGCTGACAGCTGGAGATCTCTTCGTCCTCTCCCAAAACACCCCAGAAGTCAAGGGGCAAAGAAGGTAGAGATATGGCCAGGTGCTTGCGTATGGGCATGATCCGAATGCCTGATGCTTGGAGTACATCTGATAACCTGATGCCACCCCATTCCTCCTTATTCTGCGTTTTGATACGTTCATCTGGCTCTTGGGGTTGCGCCTGAGAAGAGGCAGGCCGAGGTTTGAGCGATGGGTGGCTAGAGGACTGAGATGGAGAGTTTGTACAAGAGGAGGGTGATTTCATGTGTTGAGGAGAGGGTGGGCCAAGCACAGAAAACTGATTGGTCTCCCAGACCTCTTCCTGATTGTCTGTCAACAATACTTGGTCCGGGCCAGGGTGTTCACTGCAGAGGAAAGAAGAGTGGGAGAAGGATATTGGTTAGACACTGGCTGAAAAATAAAAATTAGCATGGCTATCCTTGTGAAATCAGTAGTCATGTTCAACATTATCACTCAATTAATGTCACAATTAATTGAATTAATGGCATAATTAAAATACAATAATTAATTTAATTACATTTAAAGGCATTTATTTAAATGAACCATGTTTAATGTTAATTTTGTACTTAAAACAATGTATTTTGTACTTGTCATTGTTTACTAAAACTGTTTAAAATGGTTTTCTTAGTTGAAATAAAGCTAATAAATTCATGAACACATTTTTTTTAAGTTAGAGTTAGCAATTATAAATTACTAAAACTGAAATAAAAATATTTTAAAAAGACAAAAACTACTGAAAATATGTATATACTTTTGTATTATGTGAGATGAAATGCTTGTGTTTGTCAGTAAATCACTCTACATTATGTTGGACAAGGACATAACTTTGTACCCCCTGATTTCCTTGTGCATATGTGCACTGTGCATGTGCTAAAAGGTTTTAGATACAGTCACACATAAAATTCACATACACATCTGATATATATATATATTTTATACTACTTAGAGTATGCACCATGTATTCATTCACAGAGGCAAACAGAACATGAAATAAGAAACACAGAGTTCTAACTGGTCTTCTATAAGAACAATTGGTGTTAGGAATATTTGTAAAATTGAACATCAAAGGGAAATACAAAACAATACTCATTCATTCATTCATTCATTCATTCATATCAAAATACTTTTTTGTCAATTTTCATTCCTACCTAAAAATGGCTTTGTTGCATGAAACCCTATTCTAATACATTTTCTACCAAAAAAAAAACCCCATAATGCTGCCAAGGACCAAATTCAAGGAGACCTGTGTCCTTCACACCAGCATTCATGAACCACTTCTCATAGAATACATAGTCCCCATGTGCTTTTCACAGCTGACGCACTATGCGACCTTGACATCATTTTCATAGTCATCGTATAAACCAGAGTTACAACAGCCATAAATACGCCCAAAAAGATCCCCAGAAGTGGAGAGCGTGAGAATGAGAGTTGGCTTTGCTCCAAAAGGGAAGCCTGTTCGCTTTCCCCATTCACCTCTAATAAAGCAGAGCAGAGCATCCATCAGAATACCATCAATCCTCCTTCATCTCCACTGGCGCTCAGCGACTCACTGATGACCCGTGTGATAGATTCATTTTCTAATACCAGTAAAATGCCTTTGAAATATCTAAACACACAATTCTCAGTGTTTTTAATCTGTTGTGCATTGCCTTTAATACAGATGTACAGGGATCCCTGAATCTGACACTGTCAACAATCATGGTGTCTCACAGTCTAATATATTAGTAAGACAAGCCTGCTTTTGAAGCTGGGTATGACAAGCCAAGACAACTCCTTTATCCTTAAGATTGGTTGTTTCTTTTTTTTTTTTCTTACTTAATCCCAAGGCTCCATTAATAAGCCAAATACGCCCTCATCAGCATTAAACCAGAAATGTGATTTTAACTTAATTATTTATATTTATAAATGGACCATTATTATAATTACTCAGATGTAACCTAAAAATATCAATACCATGGGAGAAACTATAGAATCTTATTTTAAAACAATATTACATTGTTTAAGGTTGGTTTGATTATGCAAGACGGGACAGAAAAAGCAAAAATTGTTTAATTGCTGTGGAGAAACAATATGAGTAAAGTGCACTGTATGTAATATTGTAATAAACACTGTAATACATATATAGCAAATATAAAATAAGACAACAGTGCTACTTGGAACCTGCTAACAGCAAGTACCCCTGGTATACCTGGTTGGGAATCACTTGTTTAGACATTGAGAAAAGCGGTACTACTGTAGGTGGTTCCTGGCGGCTACTGCATGCCCTAGAGTGGTTATAGAGCCAACTGAACTGGGAGAAGTTCGGTACAGAGGTAAACATCCCTGATTAATGTCCTAGTGGGCTCATTTACTGTAAATACTTCCTCAAGCACTACATTGGGTAATTACCCAAGGGGCTTTGACCAGGTCAGGCCATATATCACATCAACGGCTTTAATCAATGGAGGGGAAAGTGAAAGCAGGCAACAAAAAAAAAAAAAAAAAAATAGAGTAAAACAACCGCATTCCATAGGACACACTGCAGCATTGTTCTGGAAGGCTATGTTATTAGTAAAGTGGCATGCTATGTGCATGTTTTATTGGTGGTCATTTATTCACTAACTTGTGTTTGCCAATTCTAATACTTGGGCTTATCAGGAATCTTTAGCACTGAAGATTTGAACTGTACATGTCTGTGTGATTTTGAATAAAAAAATAACCTCTAAAAGCTCCAGCTCTTTGTGAGAGTGAAATATCAACTGGCATTCAGACTAACTGATCAGTTTGATAATGCCTACACAAGTTAGATGTTTAAAGATAACACTGCAGCACAATGACAGACATAAAACGAGATAACACGCAGCCTTTCCTCATCACCACTTAAAAAAAGTCCAACACACTGTATTTGTAATTTATCCAAATTTTTAAAAAAGCATAGACGCAAGGATTTGGTTTTCAGACTAAAATATTTTACTTCAGAATGATACCCAGCTTTAGCATCTCATTATTAATTCTACCATACAAAGGTAGACTATTGTGTTTTGTGTGACAGATTTGCATGTAACTGGAACATTTACTAATAACTAAAATATACATGAAATCTGGTGGATAAGGCCCATTTGTCATGAAATTAATTAACAACTAATTAACATATTTCATAACTTGTGAAAAACAATGATCATCACAAGGTGCATCTCAGCATATAGTATCCAAATGATTTATTACTCTTTTAAATGTATTCTTATTAAAATAAAATATTCCAGTACATAAATATTAAATATTCCAGATCAAGGAATCCACATTAAGTTTCTTAATTTAAAGTGCACCCATTTCCCCGCAGTCTTCCATGAATATTAAGATGATCTCGGCAACACAGTGGGTATTATTATACCAACGATATTATTATATATTATAATATACATTTCAAAATCAATACATTTAATTTTGATTCTCAAATCATGCACCAATGCTTTTTTTACACCCTTATACAGCAACTCTGCTTTCACGTTTCAAGTCACATAAATTATGTTTGTATGCTGGTATTGTAATTTTTTTTTTAAATGTCCGTACCGCAGCGCTAATTTTATACCGTTATACCGCACAACCCTAATAGCCCCAGAGGTCGGGGAGAGTACTGATCTGAACACAGGGATAAGCTGGACACACAGGGTGACAGTACAGGTACCTGGTGGGCCCCTGTGGGTGGCTGAGCTCCTGCTGCTGCTCTTGCTCTTGCTGCATGCGCTGCTGTAGGCCCCGCGCTCTCCTCATGCATTTTTGCAGCTTGGCGTCAGCAGCCATAGTCCTGCTATGAGTGTTAGCACTGCCCTCATGCATGGAAAATCTTAGTTTAGCTATAATGCAAAAGAACAACAAAAAGGGAAAGGAAAGAAGAGCAGAAGAAAAGAAAATGCAGAAAAGAAATAGGTGAGTTATGAGGGGCCGGCATGCGGACCATTTATTTGTTATAGAAAAGACAACGTAGTGAAATTGAAAGAAATAGGACAGGGTGATGGTGGGATATACAGTATATTCCACCTTTCACCCCAGAGTGAGGTCTAGGCAGTGTTCAATAGGCAAAGCTTTGCATGCTAGTTCATATTTATCATCGTTGATAACAGTAGCTTTCAACAGAAGTGTCATGCCCATTTTAAAAGTAACTTTGAAATAAAAAAAATAAAAAAACATTTTAGAATTACAATAAAGGTTGATAAAAAAAGTTGTTGTGGCAGAAGTCATGTTCTCAAATTTATTTTAAATTTTTACATTTTATTATTTTCACAATTTTAATTTTTCTTTTTTGGATTTTTGGACCCCCCCCCCCCTTCAAATATTCTATATTATTTTACATTTATTTTTATATATTATTTTACTGTATAGTATATATTGATATTTATATTTTGATATTACATTTACAACAACGACAATAATAAAAAATAATAATGATAATAATAATAATAATTTTCCATAGGATACAAAGGAGTTATCATTATGTCAAAACTCTTTTTCATGCACACAAAAATGCATTGTGATTGCTATCTGCCGAGTTCAATTGAACTTTTACTTCATTTATTAAAACAAAAATGTTGTATTATGTTGGGATTTCAACCCAGGTCCCAGACATTACACAAAAGCTCCAGAATTGCTAGAAAAAAGAAAAAAGAAATAGGTGCATGACACTCCTGAGTTTCATCATTTCCATTTTTAAAACACATTTCCTGTTGTTTATGCAGCATTTTGCTTACTGAACATACCTGTCCATAATGAGTGACACAAACAGAGTTAAGAAAGACCATAATAGGGAGAAGCACTGGGCTGCTCTGCTGAACGACAAGAGAGAAACCAACAACTGTGGTTGAGCTTTTAAGCCCTTGTTCACAATGTGTACTAAACAACATGTTGAGATTCATCAAACCGATTAAATGTTAATTGCCTTCCCAAAATGAGTATGCATTAGGAAACAGTTGATTTGGTTGCTCTCCCGTCTGGGACTGTTATATGGAAAACCGCAAGGGAGGTTAGTGTTGCCATGGTTCCTTTGAACCTGTTGCGTTTAAGCCTGGTTTAGCATTAATTCTGCCTATCATAAAAAATGCTATTATCAGAACATTTACTGCTGTCAACACCAGTTGCTCCTGAGCTAGCTTTAACTGCCGATGACATGCATTGCTTTCAATGGATTGAAAAGGAGCTGACGGCATTCTGGGAGATGAAAAGGGGCAGCAAAGTTTTAGGACGGCACACAACTGAAGACAAGGGAAGCAGAAGCGACAGCCAGGACAGAAATATGAACGTGGACACACAAAAACAATAATGAATTTCATGGTTGTGGAAGGTGTTGCTTTCATTTAGACAGTGGAATAGGAAACTATTGTTCCCTTTCGTAGTCACTTCAAGTAACACCGAATGACGACGGAATGGGGTTTTCTCTTAGAAGCCTATCACCTTCGAGTGTTAAAAAATGAGCCAATGGCAAAGAAATGCCACGGGTCTGTGGAATTTGCATAGTGTAACTCCGTCCCACCTCGTGGGTATATAAGTAAGAACACTGGCAGAATGCAGACATGTTTCTGCTTCGGAGCCAAGAGGTCCTCTTCACTCCTGCAAGCCTGATTTCTCTGACTTTCATCGAGTGTCTTCGAGACGAGCAGCTCTCCAGTCTGTTTTAATGCAAAGGCGATTTTCCAGCGAGATTCACATTCCTGCCTGCTGATCTGTGCAGTGGTCTGAATCCAGCATGTGTGTTTCTCTCTGGCCGCTACAGCGCAGGCTGCTGAGCGTCCTCTCAAAAAAACAGCTTGCACGGGCATGTCTTTTTCAAGATGTCTCACCTGTGTATTTCTGTGCGGTCGTTCCATTTCTTCCTGTGATGGGAATGATCGCTGCCTTGCGTGTTTGGGCTTAGAAACTTTCAGCTTTCATGGATGAGTCATGTTCTCACTGTGGGAACTCAATGTTGAGATCGAGACCTTACTAGAGTCCCCTCTCCCGGGCCGCCATGAGCATTGGGTTAGCGTGGAACCCTCCAACCTGCCCTGAGCGCTCGCGGTTGGATGATTGGTTCTTGGGGGCTGCACGCGCTGGTTCTCATCAGCGCACCCCCCCCCCCCCCAGTTCCATTCTTCCCGTAGGTGCATGAGGTCACAAGATCCTGGAAGGCCCTGTTGTCTTCCCGCGATCGTTTGGCTGCCTCCTGCGCCTTCTCTTCCCTTGATGAGGTCACGGTGAAAGGCTACACTGGGGTTCCCCCTGTTGAGCACTCTGTTGCGATGCAGTTGTGTCCTCAGAGTGCTTCGACATGGTGTGGTGACCCAAATCACCCCTCCAAAGCCTCTTGGTTCTCGTCTACCTTGGTGGCAAAGTAATACAGAGCTGTGGGAAATGCCACCACCTCGCTGCATGCCATGACCATCCTCCAGATCTGCCAGGACAGAATGCTAAAAGACATGCACGAGGGTAGAGGTGACCAAGGGCTCTTTGATGAGATGCGTGCCACCACCAAAGGCCACCGAAGGTGACCGCACACTCCCTTGGTTAAGTGATGTCCACAGCTGTAGTCCAGGAATGGCATCTGTGGCTTAACCTGGCCGATATGCGGGATGCTGAGCAGACCTGTCTGCTCAAATCTCCTATATCCCAGGCAGGCCTATTCGGTGGTGTAGTTGAGGACTTTGCCTAAATGTCCTAAGCTGCCTAGAAACAGACTGAGGCTATCAAGCATATGCTGGCCCCTCGGCCAGCTGCTGCCTCCACCCTGCCGCCGGCTCAGTCCACTCAGTCTGTTCGCCGCAGAGGACACTCTCCCACAGGAAGGCGTCCCAGTCTACTCAAGCCCCGCTGCCCGCTAAATGCCAGGCCAAGCGGTGCTCCTGATGCGGACAGCTCAGAGATGGGCTAAAGTGTTGTCGAGGAGGTGGTAGAAAGGTCACTCCTTCCGGGGGAGAATTTTTTGTTATTTGCACCCCAGTGTGGTTAATGACAGAACTGACTTCCCCAGAGTGTGCGGACGACAGTGCATGGCGCTTATGAGCCTCAATACTCTCGCTCCCCTCTCACAGAGAGTTCTCGGATGACAGTATGCGTCGCTTACGAGCCTCGCCACTCATGTCCCCCTCTATCGCCAGACCCCTGTCAGATGAGACCTCATGTGAGTGTAACGCATGTCTATGACTGTGCTCCCACACAAGGACGCTATGCCTCCCCAGTCCGTCACCATCTGAGATCACCATATGAGATTCAGTTTGAACAATCCCCTTTTCCAGGAAGTCCGCTACACTATGGTTGGTGGCAATGCCCCTGTCATGCGTGTGGAAGTCGCAGCCTTGTTGGCGAAAGGTGCAGTCGATATTGTGCCTCCAACCGAAATTAAGTCTGGGTTCTACAGCCCCTACTTGAAGAAAGTACCGAAGAAATCCGGCCAATACTGGACCTGCTCATTTGTACCGATCCCTTCACAGGCTTCCGTCCAAAATGCTCATGGCCAAACGCATTTTCGAATGTGTTCAGCCACAGGATTGGTTTATAGCAATCGACCTGAAGAACGCCTACTTTCCTGTTTGCATTCTTCCTCGACACAGACCGTTTCTTCAGTTTGCTTTCGAAGGGAACGCATATCAGTAATCAGTTCTCCCCTTCGGGCTAGCCTTTGTCTCCTTGCGTCCTGAACTATCTCAACGACTGGCTAATCCTAGCTCAATCTCGAGAACAGGTTTGCGAACACAGGGACCTAGGTGGGGTGGAGTTACGCAATGCAAATTCCACAGACCCATGGCATTTCTTTGCCATTGGCTCGTTTTTTAACACTCGAAGGTGATAGGCTTTTAAGCGAAACCCCCATTCCGTCGCCATTCGACATAACATCTCCGTTCCGTACTCAGAGAACAAGGGTTACCTACGTAACCGAGACGTTTTACATGGTGAAGACATGACCTTATAGGCTGCCACTGAATTTTAGAAGCCTCTAATTGCTCTGGGCCAAATCCGATCTGTCTCGATGAGACAGTGAAAGTGCTGTGGGGATCTGGAGAGTGGAAATATTTACAAAGGCTGTCTTCCCTTTACATATATTAGTGTTTTGCTGCACACATACAGACATGCACGCACACACCGTGAGCAAAGTGAGACAGAGATGGAGGGTTTGCAGACCTAGATAGTGGTTTGCGAGTGGTATAAATAGATTTGTGGAGAGTTTTGCATGGCTGAAATTGTTCTCTGTTCATTAATCATTCAAGCAGGTATGCCAGCACCTCGGACAAAACCGTTGTTGTTCCAGGTAAGCGAGAGATACACAGCCTTTTTTTTTTTTTAATTTGAAGAGTGCTAAGAGATTTAGACAGGATTGTGTGGCAGTATCCACACACACAGGCTCAGCAGAATCACAATCCAATCCTTCCAGCAAAGGGGATTTATAGGGGTCGGGAATGTTATGATGGTGAATCCAGAACGGATTTAAGCTCTGTTAGTGTGTGGCTGTGGGTGAGGCCCATTCAAATGGTGATCCAAATGAAGGGCTCACGCACAGAATAAAATGTAAAAAAAAAAAAAGGATAAAAATTGTTCCAGCCTCTGTCTGGCACAGATCGGGGCTCTCAAATGGCAAAAGCCGAGCGCATGTCTGCCACAGATCAGGGGCTCTCAAATGGCAAAATCAATAGCACACTACTATTAGCGGTATTAACAATCAACAGGCAGAGGCACATTCTCAGTCATCCAATCCAGATTGTGAAAATCTGGGCTAGATCAGAGCACTAAGAAAACAAACATAGGGATGCACCAAATATCAAATTAAAATAACAAAATACAAAGAGTAACAATTTAAAAATGTAAAATTATAAAATAAATACAATACAATAAATATAAATAGATTGTATTTTAAAATAAAATTATTTAAAAAAAAAACAAGTAATTATAAGTAAACAAAATTGTGCTCAATACTGATAAGGTGAATTTTATTTTTATGTTATCAATAACTCAGTAAATAAATTATATACTATTTACTATTAATTTAATTTAAGCATGTACAATTAAGTATGTACAATTTTACCAAAAATATCAATTCAAAATTCTCAAATATCAACTGATAGAGTACCAATATGATGCATCCCTAGAGACCAAAAAAGAAGGATTGGATATGCCACGAACATAAGCGAGTAGACCAGTACACAGACAGACAAACAGAAGCAAACACACACAGAGTGCTGCAGGAAGGAAAGGCAGTGTAAAAATGGTGGGTTTGTGTTTCGTGTTACAAGGACATGAATGTTTTTTAAAGCTGCTTTCTTACTAAATGGACCTAGAAAGTGCATATATTGGGTGATGGTTACCCGAGCAGATAGCGTAGGATTTGGGCGTAGCAAGCAGAGGCAGGTTAGAATTACTTACACACAGCATGGTGGGAGAGCGCCAGGGCTGTAGCTGTGTCCCCAGCTTGCTCCAGACGCAGCGACTGCTCTAAGAGAGAGTCAGCCTCCGCCAGGCAGTGCTCAAAACTGCCCCCCTTCCCTGCAATTAACACACCAAGGCCAGGCCTCTGAGAACACGCTCATACACGCACAAACACTGCTCACAGGAGCCCCAGTGTGTTCCCGGGAACACGCCACTCACAAAGTTTGCACGGCTTACCGGCAATGGAGATGTCAACTGACAGAAGTGCACACAGATATGACCACCACCAGCACAACTCATAAACACAAGTGGAAATGTGCAGTAAGTACACACACAATGCACACACAAAAAAATTGCATTTTAATTGATTAAAACAAAATGCAGGGTGTATTGGTGAATTTTTATGATGCTATGGCTCTCATCTACAATATTTATAGCATGGTACATGATATTACAGTGATTGCATTATTTAGAGATAGAAAGACATTGGATTAGATGTAATTAGAAGAGAGTGAAGGGTAAACTTTTACTTCTAAAATATATCTGTTCTGCTGAGTAAAAAAGCTTGAACTGGTTGTTAGCTGGCTGTCAAAATGATCAATATGGTACCAATGTATTGCACATCCTTAGAAACCAGCCTGAAGTAATTTGATAATCTTCGATCAATTAAACAAATCAATTAACAAATCTTTAATATCATCCGATAATCAATATATTGTGCATCCCTAGAAACCAGCCAAGAGTGGTTTGCTAATTTTATCTGGTTTATATGATCTCCCAGTATATGGCCAATTTGGTGTGGTCTTCCTGCATGGCAAATCTGGTGTTAATTTGGATTAGCTGGTCAGTCAGCTTTAAAAACGTATTCAGCCATCGGAAATATAAACTAAAAAATCTTTAAGATCAAAGCATGACCATTATGGTACCAATTTATTGTGCATCCCTAGAAAACCATCCAAACACATCAGTCTAACCCGCTTAGCCAGGCTGGGAGACCAGCTAACCAGTTTAGGCTGTTTTTTGCAAAGGGATTGCTCATAATGCAAAGCTGTGGCTCTGTCAGCTCTCTTTTTAAACACAAATTCTATCTCTTTTCATTTGTTTTCTGGCTGTTTGGCCCAGAGTGGCATTTACCCTGGTGCTGAAGTTCATCCAAGTCCATGAACTTGCTGGGTCTGGGGTTGAAGCCCTGCGCTGCTTCTCTCTCTTTCTCCTTCTTTCTCTGGAGCTCCTGCTGCCTGGCCCTGCGAGCAACTTCCTCTTGTAATTCATCCAGCTCACTGCGCCCCTCTCCTACACACAAAAACAAACACAAAAATAAATAACAGTAATATTCATGTCCAAAGTTGGCATGAACACCTTGTAGCAATAGTGGGTTAATAATACACAAAGACTGGCGGTGAGCCGGTGACTTACCCAAACTCAGTGGAGTGGTGCTCCAGGTAGGTGATTTGAGGTCTTGCAGGATGGCACTGCTGCTTTTGGACTTGGGCACAGTGCGCCAGGAGGGCCCAGAAGTTATTGGCCTCTTACTGCCACTGTCCCTAAGACAGAGTGGAGCAGATGTCTTGAAATTCAGACATCATGAAAGTCAGTCTCAGCGTCTATGTAGTAAATCAGTTTGTGTAGGCCTGTACTACAACATTAAGGCTTATGGTTAATATTTGGCTTATTTGATATTTTGTTGCCAATACACAATAAACCAACATTGTGTGAATATTGAAATAATATCATCACATAAATCTATGTCTATCATGTAAATTTGATGTATCGACACTGTGGAAACCTTCATACATTGTTTTTCAGGATTCTTTGATGAATAGAAATGTTTATTTGAATATAATACTGTATATATATGTATTTTTTTTTCTTTTCAGTAGTTATATTTAATATATATACCTGTGAGCACTGGTGCTCTGGTTGTCACTGAGGGGCATGTCCATGCTGATGGGGCTATTACTGTTCCTCTCACTGCTTTCGTAGCCACTCTCCATCCTCTGGATTAGCCGAGGCTGCTGTTCTATGCCTCTTAAAGGTGGTGGGATCGGTAGATGTTCCACTCCTGTCTCTGACACGCACCTTGAACCATCGGTCATGGCTCCAGTCTCTTCTGCTACAATATTTGACCCCCCCGCCGCAGCCCCTGAGACCAGCTCGCTGTGCACCGGTGACATCGGGTCTTCCAGCAGCGGGGAGGGCGCGAGCGTGGCGTACCCAGGCGGCCGAAGCCTTTCCTGGCTGAAGATGCTGTCAATGTTCAGAGCCTCTCTCCTTGGTCTCCAAGTGGGCCGATAGCACCCTCCACTGGAGCTAGACTTAGACTCACTGCTGGTGCTCTCGTCTTCCCAGTCCCTCGACCGAGCCCCAGCCTCCGAGCCGCCCACCCCTGAACTAGAGGACGATGAGAGGGGTCTGCTGTGGATCATATTCACAGTCTCTTTATAATCCTGCAGATGACCAGTAGAAGAGGTTCTTGGCGTACAAAGGGGAGTGGCCCGATCTTTAAGAACCTCCCCTAAAAAAAAACAGATTATCAAAGTGAGAATATATAGATATAAATATATTTGAAAGTTGCATTCAAATTTGATGAGGAAAGTGCCTTCTCAGTTAGATTTAGCATGACAATTTGCTGAGAGCATGTTTGTGTAAAAGTACCTGCAGTGTCCACGCTGTTTTGGGAACCGCTGCTGTCCTGATTACACACCACAGTTCCCTGAGAGTCAGAAGAGAAATAGGAGGCCATGGACTCATGGTGTGATCGAGAGTGCTTGTAGCTGCAGCTGTCTGTGGAAGAGTCTGTGCGGGTGTCACTTGAAATTGAGGGCTCCCTCCCTGACGACAATAACAACAACAACAGCAGAGAGGGTATTTAGAAACAGAGAAAGTTAGCTTCAGCTATGCAACTGCGCAAAGGCCAGATCTTAAAGGGATAGTTCACTTTAATCATTTACTCATCCTCAACTCATTTTAAACCTTCCACAAAAGAAGAAAATTAAAAGTATGATTGTACTTTTCAATGCAAATGGCAACAAATACACACTGAAGCTTTCAGACTTGGATGTAAAAGCTCTAAAAATGTTGTCCATATGATTTGTGCACTATAATCCAAGTCTTCTAAAGTAGTGGTTCTCAGCCAGGGGTCCGGAGATCACTGGGTGGCCTCAATGGCTTAAAATGTTTTAAAATAAGACAAAACAAGTAATAAAATATGGCAAAAAACAAGATTCAATTCACCCCCTAAACAACAGTTTTTCTCCATGAGGTATCAGGGTTATAAGCTTATAACACTTATAAATATGAGTAAGCCCAAGTGTGAAGTCTAGTCCAGGAAAAGTCATAAAACAGAAGTAAAATAATGGATCGAGGAGTCTTGGGGTTACTGAATATTGTTGTGAATATTACTTTGCAGTCAAAGTGGCTGAAAACCACTGTTCTAAAGCCATACTTTACATTTGCGTGAGAAATGGAACAAAATTGTAAATCATCCCCTCCACTGAGCTGTAACTCAAGAAACAGGCCAATGCATGCAGGATGTGCAGGCTGTCGGGCCAATGCAAGAATGAATCATTCAGATCAATTTTTGTGAACCTGATTCAATAAAAAGATCTAAAAAGGCATCACTACATCTCTCATGAATGTTCCAAGGACAGTTAAAACAGTTACAGTAATTTAAGTTGATAAAGCGGTCAGAAGAATTTGAAAATAGAGCATATGGGCCACTTTTGACTCCTTTAAAAGCTAAGTAGCCATTCATTGTAATTGCATGAAAATAAGTGACCGAATTCTTTAAAATGTGCACTTTTGTGTTCCACAGAATAAAGTCATAAGGGTTTGGAAGGAATGAAGTACATTTTTTTCTGTATATTGCTTTGTTTGATTCTGAGAATTACAAATAGTATTGTTTCTTTTGTTTAACCCTCGACCTCTCCGTCCTGCCTCTCACTTCTTTTTAGCCTCACCAGAGTCTTCGCTGTCATAGCCAGCCTTGCTGCTGTGATGCAGGTCTAACTGCGCTGCCAGCATGTCCTGCGATGACACGGGCGTTCCTCGGGGGTCAGCATATAGCAGCAGGAGTGGCTGGTAGTGGCCTTTTATACATCTCGACACCACATCCTTCCATTTGGGTCCAATCTAGGACAGTTTAGTACATCCTGAGTTAACCACAGACTCAATTCACAATTAGAAACACTAAAATCAGCTGCTCGAGACAGACGTGACATTACCTCCTTTACATGTGCGTCATCGAAGTACATCCACTTGCGTATCTTGGTCTGGAAGAAGAAGGTGGAGTAATGCTTGCCGTAGTAGCAAACCATGCCCACAAGGTAGAGTTCTGAATGCTTGGCCCGCTCATCCGTCACACGGTAGAACAGCTGGAGGGCAGGCATATAAAGAGAGAGTTGACCGTGAGGAACAATCAGATTTAGAGTTTACCATAACTGCAGTGAGGCATAAAATCCTTATTAACTCGTCAGCTTTGGCAGAGCATGTTTTGAATCATAAGGCAATAAAATGAACAGTTAAAATGAATATATTCAAAATGAAATTATATTTAGGGTGTGACTTAATGATGTGAATAATTTCAGTGGCATCAAGGCATCGCTAAACAAGGTTCAATGAAAAACAGCATCTATATATTTAAGAATTTGCTCCCTTTCAATTCATGAATGTGAATTTGTATGGAACTGGTCACACACATACAGTACATGATGTTAAATTGGAAGTAACTGATGTAATTTGGATTGCAATGAAAATAACCTAACAATTGCCTAATATAATCAGTGAATAACATTTTGGGAAATTAAGGGAAATTCCTTAAGGGAAAGTTCCTATTCATAATAATGATAGCACTTTATTAAATATAATATCAATAATAACATCTATAAAAAGGATATTATACATGTGAAATGTATGCATACATTATTGTTAATTTGTTAAATATAATAATAAAAAACATAATAATTTTATATATACATATACAGAATAATCAGTAATTTTAAAGTTTTTGAAAGAAGCCTCTTATGCTCACCAAGGCTGCATTTATTTGTTCTAAACAAATGTGAAATATGATTACAATTGTTTTCTATTTAGATATATTTTAAAAGGTAATTTATTCCTGAAATGGAAAACCAGAATTTTAGCCAGCCATTACTCCATATACATTACTCCATTTACTCTTTATTCATTTCAATTCAAATTCTGCTTCCTGTGCGCTACATATATAATTTTGACTATGAAGTACGTGAGAACACTGCAACACTAGTGGGGCTATGGATATATTGAATGTGACAAAGAGTACACTGTGTTTCCTCCTTTTGTCCTGGACTGTGCATAAGAGAAGGCTAGCTGAAAGCTCAAGGTTACTGCGTTAAGGTGACGACAAAAAGGAACAGCAATAGTGTGTTGTCCGTGCATCCATGAGTCTTACATCACCCAACCGCAGGCACGTGCCCAGGCTGTGGATGACGTCTTCGGCTAGATCAGAGTGGTCTGAGTCCCACACCAGGCCGATGCTGATGATCTCCGGGCAGTTCATCAGAACCCGCCGAATCCGCAACATTTCGCCACAATTACTCTGAAATGATGAGACAAAAAAGAAGGCATCTTGATTAGGGCTGAGCGATTTTTTTTTCTTTTTCTGTGATTTATTGTGATATGAATACATAGTTTCACCAGATTACTTGAATAGTCTCATTCTAGAATGATTGGCATTAAAAAAAGCAATAATTAAAAAAGAGCAGAAAAATACTTTTTACAATGAAGACTTTAAATGTGAAATCCTTTTACGGCTTAACAATTTGGAGGGAAAAAAAAAGGTAACACTTTACAATAAGGTTCATTAGTTAACATTAGTTAACATGTACAATATGTGAACAATACTTCTTCAGCATTTATTAATCTTAGTTAATATTAATTCCAACATTTACTAATACGTTATTAAAATCAAAGGTTGTATTAGTTAACATCAGTTAATGGACAGTGAACTAACATGAACGCACAATGAACAGCTGGATTTGTATTAACTAACATTAACAAAGATTAATAAACACTGTAACTAATGCATTGCTCATCATTAGTTAATGTTAGTTAATGCATTTACTAATGTTAACTAATGAACCTTATTGTAAAGTGTTACCAAAAAACCCTTGAAAAATGTTGGTGTTCATACTTGGGGTTACACTTTACAAGAACCACCTCCAACCAAAAAGTGAAGAGAAAAAAAAAAATTCTGATAGGCCACATTCAAAATGCTTTGACCAATTCCATATGAATTATTGAATGTGCTTGTGTGTGCGAGAGAAATGGTGAAGGAGAGATGAAAGAGCGCTTCAAACAGCGCAACATGGTCCAACAGGGCCTTATGTTCAGCACCCAATGTTCTCGCTGTGCTCTTTGAGTCACTGCCCTCTGCCGAGCGCTTTGGCAGCAGTATACGGAAACAGGCATGGAGAAGGGCTCTGGCGACGAGCACCACTGCCAGCCTGACCTCTTCCTTTAACGTACAAAAAACCTATCCGAGCACTGGCTTTGTGGAGCCGTCAGCGGGGCGGCACCAGGCTGGCACCAGACCTGGGCAGGAAGGGATTAGACAAAGAGCCCAGTTCTCAGAACCGTCCTTTCTCTTTCTCTCCGCTTCAGTCGCTCCATCACAGACAAACACAGAAGCAAGACAGCCAATGAGCAACCAGCAGCAGCACTGCTGAGCTTTGGGACAGACACACGGTGTCCCATTAGAGATCATTGTTAGCCTTGGCTCCACAGTCAGTCCTGCCAAGTGCTGGGAATCCAGACAAACAAATGCTTTCAGGGCCAGAAGACTGAGCTTCTAAAGAGCAGTGATGTAACACACTATCGTGATCTTAGTTGCATTTCAATAAAGTCATTTCAGGGAATCGACAAACGGAAAATCACTGGAAATGAAGGCGTGGATTTCCGCTCAAATTCATTTGGACTCATTTCGTTGATTTGGTATGGTGTACTGACATGGGTTTCTCGGAAAGCATGCTGAATGATGCTGGAGTGTGTTTGGGATGATGAAATCAGCTGCCTCGCCTCCTGTGGCGGTGTGAGGGTGCACAGTGTGTGGTAAGAGCTGATCAGCAGCTGGTGTGTAGTAGGGCAGGACTGTGTGTGTGTGTGGTTGGGCGTTGGGGGTCTTCGTCTGTTGAGAACATAGGAGTAGTGAGCAAAAGACCCTCTCGGGTGAAAAACAGATGGCCTGTATGGTTCCATGTGAACAGCAGAGCATAAATGAGTGTGTCCGGGTGGCTTGAAAAACGTTTACACTTTGGCACATTCACATTCTCAAGTGTCGAACACTGATTTGTAGAAGTCCTATCAATGATTACACAAATTCTTCAAATGGAACACCATTAAACTAGAAAACCAATTGGTAAAAGCTGAGATAGACTGTAATTAGTAGGGCTGGGTAATAAATATTGATTTCTCGATATTAATCGATTCTCATTTTTTCGAACCGATATCGATTCTTAAATCTCAAGAATCGATTAGTCGTCCTGTTTCATTTGAATGAATGGAACATTGTATCGCGGGTGCGCGCATCTAAAAAAAATCGCAATAATCTTTGTTTTTTGTTACTATTGATATGAAACAAAGTCTCAAACTTCTAATTACGTCCATTTTCTTTAGAAATTCAAAAACATAAATAAGGTTTTGGCGCTGTGGCGTGAGATCGCTCTGGCGCAGCTCAAGAGAAGCAGCAGCGCTGATCTCTCTTCCGGCTTAATAATACCAGTTACAGCGCGAAATAAACATGAATGAGCATCTGAAAGTGTGTTAAAAGACAGAGTACAGCTTATCGAAATCCGTATCATGTCACATTGATTCGCTCAATTAGCGTTTTAACCATGTAAATTTGACGATACATGACATTGATTACAAGCTGTTTAACTGACGTATTTCCATCAGAAAATCCACATAAACTCGTTAGTCAGCTAGAAAAAATAACTCTAGAGAGGAGCATTTTGCTAAATATATACACCATATTACATGTGCATTATAATCTTAATGTTCTTCAATATTTAATGCATATTTGAATAAATCTGGCAAGTTTTTTTTATGACAGCCACCATTTAAATGTTTATATTTCATATAATCTTCTTACTATAAAAATAAATAAAAATGTTTGTATAGCTACAAAACAGTTCATTATTACTTTCATATTAGGCTAATGAAGCCTAGTAGGCTACAAATAGACTCCCATAGTTTACAGCACATTAGTTAAGAGATTTGATTTCCTTGAGAAAATTTGCCATTTATTGTAACTGATATCCAAAATAATCAACATTGAATCGAATCGAATTGCAAGCTTGTGAATCAAAATCGTATCGAATTGTGAAATTTGTGTCAATACCCAGCCCTAGTAATTAGTAGGTAGATAGATAGGTGTGTATGCGTGTTCTCACCGGACAGTTTCGCAGATCGCCCATGGTGCTGGCGTTGCGGAGAAGCTCTCCAAACATGTCGGGTGTGGGCTTCTCCTTACATTCCAGCATTCGCACAGCTTGGTTACTGCAGCAGAGGGAATAAGAGACAGATGTGTCCTCAAGCACCAGTGTTAACACCACTGATGGGAAATGCACACACAATTTTACACACATTAATGTTGAACTATAACGGAAAGAATAATGATACTCGGTGTTACACGTACACCATTATTTCAGCCGCTCAAAACCTTACAAAGTCTACAGTACACAGATGTTATATATCGTCAGTAGATCACTCTTCCCTGGAAGACATCAGAAACTAATGTAGCAGCACTCGATCTCTGTTCCATATCCACATGGTCTCCATCAGGACAAGAGCCGCAGGCCTGCAGAGAAATCAGTGCAGTTTACTGGCTAATGTTTCCTTAAGCTAAGCGTGATAGCATCCATTTGACATGCAGCATATCTGCACACATGAACCGTCTGTCAGCATGTCCGCATGGAGGAAATGTGCCAAGACAGCCCCTTAAGGGCTAAATACAACCTATACGCAGACACTAATTTAGATCAGACAGACAGGTCTACCCTTTCTCTCACTGTCTTACTTTCAGGATTATTCAGTGCTTTACTTGGAAATGACGGTCATACTGAGAATTACATTTAATACGTAGTTTTTCACAGTAAACGTACTCCTCTCTTTGCAATTAAATTTTTAAGGTTTAAAAATAGCCACTTTGACCTTGAATCGCTCTTCACATTGTTTAGCATGCAGCGTTAATGATCTCAGATTACCGCTCATCATATTCAACACATTAATAATGCTGTTAAGAGGGTGGATGGCATCATCTTTTATCTTTCCTCGAATGTTTTCTGCATATCCATCCATCTATATATAAGCTATCACAAGCATAAATCTTAAAAATATGACCATTTGCAGGGAGACTCAGGATGGTAATATAGACAATTTGCACAATTTATGGTGGATTTAGAGACTGTGATGTTACAGAAATTTTATGATTCATTCTGGTGGCTAAACCACCATCACTGTCTCTGTGTGTGTGTGTGTGTTTTCCTCAGGTTTCCATTTAGTTTTCTATTTATGCTTAATTTAAAAGCGTGCAGTGCCAATAACACCAGTACAATTCTATGTAAATGCGACCTGACTAAAAATAAAAACAAACTGTGAATAAAATTATGTACATAATAACAAGTTTAATATGCATTTCATTTGGAAGAAGAAACCCAAATGTGCCATACATGGGTAGATGCTATAGTGTAGAAACTGTACATCATCAGTTCTTTTAGAATGATACATTTGAGCCTCTCAATACAGATAAACCTGTCCAATCTGTTTCAGAAAAGAGAGAAATGAATAAATCCTACGGGTTCTACTGTTTTCCGTGATATGTGAGAGCCTGGTTTAACAGCTTTGGTTCTGGATGAAAAATGCTTGAGTTAGGATTTTGAGCATATTGCGTAGTCTTTGTTTTCTAGTGTGTGTTTGTATGCAGGTGGACGTGGCTTCCCACTGAGAGAGCGTGTGTTGTGTGAGAATTCAAAGCTGTACAGGGGTACCAGCATCTAGAAGTGATGGAACACATTGTATTATATTTTTTTTGCCGTTCGGCCACGAGGCAAAACACACGATTTACTGTGGAATAAGTGTGTTTGTGCAAACCCAAGAGAGGACAGAGACTGCTTGTTTACACATGTGTGCAATGCAAAGCCAGAAAACTGTGTGTGAAATGGTAAAGGATGATGGGTATTTAGCCATTAACTCTGCATGTACATTTAGACCTTTGGCCGGTTGCACCAGCTGTGCGAGTTACAACTTAGCCTAGTTTTGATGTAAATGGGCACTACATCTTATGCAATACTATTTAGTTTTGCATTGCACCATTAAACTTAGTTGAAGCGTAAATCTACGCATAAACTAAATATTCACGGAAGCCACCGACCAGGAATAATGATAGGAATAGTAAGCATTAATAAGCTGTTGTTTTAACCAAAAGACTTCAATACTTCAGACATATGATAATGCTGACATTTACACTAGCTTACATTTTAAGAGAGAGAACATTATGTGAATAAATTATTTTGTTAGCAGCCAGTCATAAGTTATTTGCATCAGAATTTATTTAATGGTCCTTTTAATACAAATACATTTTCTGACTGTTATTTACACATCAAATACCTGTTGTGTTATTCATGATTAAGTAGTGTCACATTTTAATGGAAACTTTAAAAGGCAAAAGAAGTTAGAATCAATGATAAACTGAAATTCATCTTTGAAAGCTGCTTTTGGATCATTGAGGGTAAACATCATATTATGTGTTTACGGAGAGCTTGCAACCAACTAGCTGCATTCTGCAATAAGAACTACAGTAATGGTGCGCCTGAATAAAGTACAGCGTTACAAACTAGCTAGTTACTAAGCCTCTAGTGTGGACTTTACATTCTAATTTCAGTACAAACATACGAATGGCTGGTGCAACCCTACCCTGGAGAATTGATTCTTTGATATCTGATACGGAAATCATTGATGAATGTTTAAAGGGATAGTTCACCCAAAAATGAAAATTCTGTCAGTATTCACTCACATGTTGTTCCAACCCCGTAAGACCTTCGTTCATCTTCGGAACACGAATTAAGATATTTTTGATCACTCCTCCATACTAGTCCATAGGCTTCTTCAGGGATTGAAACTTGCCTGCCCCAAAAAGTTATTAAATACATTGTTAAAATAGTCCAAGTGACTACAGTGGCTCAATCTTAACTTTATCAAGCGACAAGAATACTTTTTGTGCGCAAAAAGAAAAAAAAAAGTTATTACAACTATTCATTTCCTTCTCTGTGGGCCTCTAGTCAGTTCAACAGCGTAAGTTTCTGTTGTTGTACGTCACACACATCACACACATGACCAGCGTCAGCCAATAGTGAGCCAATGTGTGATGTAGCTCTACGCTATCACACTAGTTTAACTGACTAGAGGCCCAAAGAGAAAGAAGTAAATAGTTGAAGTAAAGTTGTTATTTTTGTTTGTTTTTGCGCACAAAAAGTGTTCTCGTCGCTTGATAAACTTAAGATTGAGCCACTGTAGTCACTTGGACTATTTTAACGATGTCTTTAATAACTTTTTGGGGCTGGTAAGTTTCGATCCCTGAAGAAGCCTATGGACTAGTATGGAGGAGTGATCCAGCTCTCAGATTTAATCGAAAATATATTAATTTGTGTTCCGAAGATGAACTAATTACGGGGTTGGAACAACATGAGGGTAATTACTGACAGAATTTTCGTTTTTGGGTGAACTATCCCTTTAAGATCTGTTTATTTTTCCCCAGCCTGTCACAACCAGGGCATATGAGTAAAGTGGAGCGGGATGTCCTTTAACAGTTTCTCACTGCAAAGGTAGATTTTTTTAAACTTCTTTTTAACCCGCAAAGAACAGAAGCAAAGAACAAAAAATAACTTTACAGTGAGTGTATCACAAAATGAACTCAACCTTGATGTTTGCTGTGCATTTATTTATAAGATTTGCAACTTCTTTAAAACTATATAACCTCCATAACCTTAGACCTATTGCTTATTTATACATATTCTCAAACCAGCATTTCACAAAGGGCATTCCGGACCTGACCGGACTAAGCGAGTGGAGCAGAATCTTCAGAAAAGCGCTTTCAGCTCCAGACGAAATATTACAGCTTTGCTCTGGTTGCAACAGATCCTTGAGTGTCTTTCATGGGATTTTAAAATCCAACTTTGCATGATTTGTGTTAATAAAAGTGCTTCTTGTATCGTTGAAGACCCTGACCTACATGCTCAGTGATATTAGCTGTGTCCCAATTCGAAGGCTCCTTCAAATGCGTCCTCGAAATGCATCCTTCGTTTCCCGGGCAATGAAGGATACAACAGATGGACCTTTTGCGACCTACCCTACCCCAGAATTCATTGCGCGCCAGTGACAACAAAATTTTCTTGAGAGAAATTGCCGTTTTGTTGCAGAACCATGTTTTGTTTTTAAACAGTTGAATGTAACTTTCAAAAAAGCCAAGTTCAAACGCAACTGCCACTCTTCCGTCCCATTTAACAACATTCGGTCGGTTCTACCTTCAACCTTCGTGGCCTGGCCACGCCTTTGAAAGGTGTCTTAATAAACAAGTCCTTAGTGGCTATTCCATCATTTGGCAATGCATATCAAAACCAGAAAGTGAAATTCTGAATCGTGTTGTAAAGCTCAGATGGCATAATAGTGATTCTTTCTGATGTCCAAGAGAGTGTGCTGGAGACAAGATTCCACAGGGATTGATGGGTAATGTCCTATCTTTGTCCTCAGCGGTCCACTTTCTTATTGGAGAAATGGTCTTATCGAGGTCTAAACATCAGATGTGTTGCGAAGCTCTCAGAATGAAATACTGTACAGCAGACAAGAACGTTTCAGGAAGAGTTAAGTGTAGGTGTGTGAACATATATGTGGGTTTTATATGTGGGGAAAATAGGGGAATGGGGATGGATAGAGAGAGGAAAAGACGTAAAACATGGCAGATGAAGGTTGCATGTCTGTGTAACAACACATACACTAGAGTGGGAGAATAAGTCATAAGGGAGGGGTTTGCGGAGGGCACGTTTCCTGTACATAGCACTAGCAGATGGCTCTCACGGGTCTGATATGTACTATGACAGCTAATAACCTGTGATATAGAGGCTCATTCCAGCCTAGCAGGTTGGCTTTACCATTCAGCTGGAGCTGGTGGCTCACTTACCCGATAAACACTGTGGATTGCTCCCTTACCTTCAGTTTCCAGTCTGATGTGTAAATCGAAACACTCACTCAACATCAAAGTGACAAAAGAGCCACAATTGTCCGTTTCCAGCACTAAACGGCGTACACACACCCCACTAAGTCTCAATAGATCACCCTCAACCGCAAGGGTATCCATCATTTGTGCAGCACAAGACAAACTGAACCAAAACACATTGAAGTGCAGGACAGTTGGCGGTAAAATGGCCACAGATCTTTTCTTTTTCAGGAAGATTGAAAAATATTATTACAATTTAAAATAACCATTTTCTGTTTTACAATTTTAAAATGTAATTCATTCCCATGATAGCAAGGCTGAAATTTCAGCAGTCTTAATACGGAATAAATATCAAATATGTCCATACTTCATCATAAATCATTATAATATGATGATTTAGAGCCAGAGAAAGATTTCTTATTATAAGCATTATTGTGTTGCTTAATATTCTTAAGCAAATGGTGATATATAATAGATACGATAAGATATATATATATATTTTATTTTATTTTATTTTATTTTATTTTTTTGGGTCCATGGTCTTCCACTTACCAGAGAGAGGTGGTGGAGATGTAGTGCACCATCTGAATGAAAGGGAGAGGATCTGACGTGGCGCCACAATTATTACAAACACACTAGAAGAGACAAGAAACACATACATAAAACAAATGCTAGGAACCACAAAAAACGGATAATAATGAAACACATAATGTTCCTCAACAACCTGTTCGAAAAGTGTCATGGCAAACTTCTGATGTGGGATGCAGTGCTTTGCCGTGCAGATGTCCTCCTTGGTCTCATCCGAGATGTGGAAGTGGATCCGCATCAGGAGATTCTCCTAGAGAAGACAAACACTGAGCGGTTGGATAATTTCTAGAGAATGGGAGTGTGTTTGTGCGTGATCCTGCTTTGATAAACAATTCTGGAACAAGATGTTTAGTGCCAGTGCAGTATAATATTGGCTATTCTTGCTGCATTTAAACAGTGAGTCATTTTTGAACTGGTGTTTGTGTGTGTATCTGAGACAGTGAGTTGTGTGGTCCAGCTCTCACATAAATTTTTCTCTGTCAGCACTCACTTCACGTTAATCTGATCAAGTGAGAACCACACATCTACTTTTCATAAGAGTCCTTCTGATTCCCTGGCTGAACAAATTTAAAATCAATCGATCACACTGCAAGTTCCCGACAAAGGACAAAGGAATAAAGGGTGAACGAGGGAGTGGGAGAGAAAGTGAGAGAGGTGAATAAGACCATACATCAAATCTCTCGTTCCCTTCCTTTCATCTCACTAACAGCACGGACCACGCCTGCAAGACCCGTATAACCCCCAGTGCTGGAGAAGCTACAGTACTACTCCATTTTCCTCTAAACATTCCACCTACATTCAAGCTGCTAATCTGAAAAAGTATTTAGTTACACTATAAGTTACTAAGGAAAACAAGATTCAATGAATCTATTTTATCAACAATTTGTTTTATACATAATAAAATGAAATGTACAAAAATATGAACACTAAATATAACTAATATGATTTGAAAACTCCCTAGTTTATGTAATATCAACATAACATTCTAATAGCACCATTTAATTAAATATTTTGAGTGCTAGCAACTTTATTCTTATATATAATACATATATAAGAGTTATACCTAATAAAATATAAATATACACATACATTTTTTTTAAAATTGTGTTATTTGTTTACTATTATATGATTTTATTAACATTTTGAATTAGCTTTTATTTTAATATTTTCAGTTTTCATTAAAAGTGCTTTCGTTATTTTTTATTCAATTTTTTCAAAAATATTTCTATTTAGCTTTATTTTTATTTCAGTTAATTTTAGCCATTTCAATACTTCAGCTAGTTGACAAGGCAACATTTCCAGTTTTATTTTAGTTTAGCTTTACTGCAAAATAATAATAATAATAATAATAATAGTTTAGTTTTAGATAAAAATAACAACACTGCTATTGAATAAAATGTTTTTATTTTTGTTTTTATTATAAGTTTAGCTATTCTTGTATTTCTCAAAGGATACAGTGGTTCCAAAAGGTTTTCAGACACTGCAGTCACTCTTAAGAATATGAATCTCTTTGGAATTTGCAATACATAGCAAAATTTAAAAACCAAGGGAAATTTATTGTGAATAAAATAAATAAAACACAAGCTGAACATTTCATGAAAAAAAAAACTTTTTAGGTTTGAAATATACAGTATAGGCTATTGTTCATTGGGACAAATTCTCATTTTCACTACAAAGCTTTATTCACTATATCATATAAAAATCAGCAAAGTAGCATTATGTCATACTACTCTAGCAGAAATCTACAGTGTTTTAAAACAGTCAAGCAATGTCTCACATTTAAAAAAATACATTCAAGTACTTTTGCTACTAGTTACGTCTACATCTCAACACTAATAACTCTGAGTTCACCGAGCTCGGAAATAAAGACTCTTCACACATTGCATTCAAACTATCTTTTCACTCTGAAAAATATCACGTCATGCCCGCCGCCAGACACTTCTCATTGAGTATCACACAACAAATCATTAGTGTATGGAGCGTTTCATTTCCGGCTCAGATAATAACGCAGCTATTTATGCAGGGGTGCAGATGTGCAGAGGAGCGAGGCAGAAATGAAGAGTTGGCATTTCGCTAATGTACTGCCTGTCGTCTGGCGCACGTGAGGAGTAGGGTTGGCGTCTAAAAGTGGAGATGGATGGCACAAAGAGCGCTATGGCCTCGTGCCTGCATCTGCTTCGCAAATGCGCCAGTCAAACAAATGGGAGAAATCATGGCAGCCCCATTCAACAGATCCTCGGCTAAATATAACGAGCCCGCAACAGAAACAGACCTTTGTTACCGAACTGCAGACGAGGTGCTAATTGAGCTAAATAACACTTTGATGATGCTGTCTTAGTGACCTTATGAGTAAGCACAGCTGCATTCACATATCTATGGAGGGGGAGGGGGGGGCCTGACATAGACATTACTGACTGCATATAAATGGGTATTTAAGATGGAGCCAATCACAGGGTCTCTCGGCGAGCTATCTTGATTGGACAGCTCAGCCACTCGCCCGTGAATGATCGTTCAATTGCTTATTTGCTTAAAAGCAATTATCTGTATTGATGCTCATGCGGTATGTCCTTTAAGGACATAAATGTGAGATAAACACAATCTATGGTCCTTAATCAGGTGCGGCCAAATAATCAGGTCTGGGGATTATAGAGGAGTGGGTTGGGGAGTACAGGAAGACCTTATAGAAAGCTTCCACATCCTTAATGATCCCATCCGAGCTCATCTAAAGCAACAGCAGGGCCTATTCATATGCCTGGCAACTCCTGCTGTCTTATGCCTGTAAAGCCCATGACGTTCACAGCCATAAATCTAAATGTCTACTTAAAAAACAGCTCTGTTGCAAAAGTCTACATAGGCCAATCTTACATACACGTGAAACTATTATGGTATTGTAAACCGTCTAACTGTTTTTGAATGCAAGAAAACATCTAGCTTGAAGTAGTGTTATTATTGTTAAAACAACTACAATACAAACTAAATGAAAACATTTTTGCTACCTTGAATAAACATAGCAACTATCATAACTGGGAAAACGTACTCGGTTACTAACGCCACCTTGGTTATCTCTAGAAGAGAGAACGAGTACTGCGTAATATCTTACGCTAAAGGAAAACCTCTTTTCCAAGAGATATTGAAGCCACAAATTATCCTTAATTTGGAATTAAAGGTTCTCTAAGCGATCCTGGGTGTTGACGTTCGGAATATTTTCAAACAAATCGGAGGCTAGCTAGACCCTCCCTCCTCCGCATCTCATCTCATCTCCTCTCCTCCCCCTCCCTTCCCCTCACTTCCGTGCTTCCTGAAATAATTGTGAACGTGCATTTCTAGCTAATTATATCCTTGTGTGGGTTTGGCGAACATAAGCAACAATTTAGAAGAAAAAAACAATTTAACGTTAACGTTACCCACCTGTACAGCAAAAACAGAGCAACCTGAATGTCGGACTGGAAGCCCTTCTGCCGCCGGAGTTCTTGCCATCGGTCAAAAACTTTGCTACTGATGTAAATTCGGAACTTCGCACGTTCTTTATCAGACTCCTTCTTCTTTTTAATTTGTTCTTCAGAACGACGTCTCTTTGGTCGTGTCGGCCATTTTTCAAACTTCCCTCTGATGCTTCTATCTCCTTCACACACACACACACCCCCTTCATGTGCACGCGCACTAACCCCCCAGACCCACCCTCAAATACTTCTTGCCTGTGATTGTTTTTGTTGCCGTTTGTGGAGCCTGTGGTGTCTACAGAGACCGCGTTTTTTTACAGTGTGTTTAGGGGACAGGCAGCTAGCCGATAGTGAGGAGACGTTTGATGTATGTGACAAAAAATGTTTTGGCCCCACATCGCTTAGAGAACCTTTAACGTAAAACGTGTTGCGGCATCAAGCAGACATAGGCAAGACGGCTCATGTGCCTATTGGCTGTCCTGCGGCAGCCTATCGAGAAAGGCCCTTGGTGACGTCAGACGGTTACTTAGAACGTCCGCTGAACGAAACGAAGAGCTGCTCAGTCTGTCTGAAAACAGACGAGCGAGACACATAAGCTCTTAATGCCCTGACTGGGCAAAGGAAGCTCGCGTCGTTTTTCTCGTTGTAAACCGGTAGGGTAGACAGGGAAATAACCTGAGCCCAGAACGGTGTGTTGAGGGATTTAGGCATGTATCCGTGTCTTGGTTTGAGTATGACTTTCGAGTCAATTGGCCCAAATGCCATAGACGTCGCACTTACTGAGAGCGCTTGTAAATCCCCTACGCGCTTCACTGAAGCAAGAGCCATAAGAAACACTGTCTTGAACGACAAATGTTTCATATCTGATAAATGGATTGGCTTGAATGGGGCACCTTTCATGGCTTCCAAAAGCGTAGAAAGGTCCCTTAAGGAAGCAGATGACCAGAAAGTTCTTCTCCATTGACTGGCCAGTCGCTGGTTTATGGCTGCCACATAAACCTTGAGCATGGATGGGGTTCTGCCCTTATCCAGTAGCTCTTAAAGGAAGGAAAGAACTTCCGTAACCCCACAGTCTAGGGGTGAAAAGCCTCGGGCTTTGCACCAGCCAGAAAACACAGACGCGGCTGGAAAAGGCTCCGGGACCCGCTGAGTAAGACGTTTTTTACGGCGCGGCACTATAGTGGGCGGAAGTGCAGGCTCCGAAAAAAATGCCAGGCGAGTCCTCAGAGTCACCATGGGCAATAGCCCATGCGTGAGAGCTGCATGATCCTTACCCAGGCAGTAAACGCAGATGAAATTGCTGTCCCCGTCATTTAGGAATGAGGCATCTTTAAACACTGCTCTTTTAGATAGCTCTTTTCGCAGCGGCGAACACACACATGGCAGAGTAAAAGGATATAAACACCGGAAAGCGTAGCTGGTACGACTACATGACGTAGATCCCATTGGATCTGACGTCACCAAGGGACTCTCTCGATAGGTTTTGCTCATGTCTGCATGCTGCCGCAACGCATTTTACATTATTCAAAATTAAGGATAAATTTGGTTTCAATATCTCGTAGAAAAGACGTTTTCCCCTAGCGTTAGATATTACACTGTATATACACAGAGAACATAAAATGTTTTTGATACATGGTTCTTTATAAAAACTTATTGAAACCTAAGAAACTAAACTAAAACTAAGTTCTATTTCTATAGAAAGAAATTGGAAGACAAGAAAAATCCAAGGAAGACAAGTGCGGCTCTTCCATTACCACTCAGAGAATATAACAAATTAGTCTGCGACTGGCATGTGGCTAAGCTAACATCTTCATGCTTAAAGAGCAAATAAAATACATATGGCACACATACAGCATCAAATAGTCGCTTTTAATTGGATCAAATTACTCTGAAGTGCTGAATAAATTATATTAATTGGACCATTTTATTGAGCTTGTCACAACGCATTCTAAAATAACCTCATCCAAGAAGGACACATTGCCAAAACACGTCTTTTTCAGTAATATATGAATATTACAAAAAGTTGTCCAACTTCAGATGTCTGTATTTCTCCTGAGTTATTTTCCCTATGCTGCTCAGACTCCACGTTTCCATTTATACCACTCTTAAAACACACAAGGATGTGCACAAGCAGCAGTGTTTGAAATTCAACCCCTAACATCTCTGGAATCTAAGATCAAGGTTGACAAAATCCAAGACAGGAACAGAAATAGACAGAACTGTGAGAGGTGACGCGAGGAGAGACGAAAGTAAGGTTGAGGAGAGGTGAGAAGAGGAAATGCCTGAGAGAGAGAGAGAGACAATGGGATGAGAACAGAGGAGGTACGACTGGTATAGCTGATCACTGTGTCAGCAAAAAGAGAAAAGTAACTTGTTAGGAGAAAGTGTGAATAAAGCGGTGAGATGGGGATAAAAACAAAAGTCTTACGAAACACTCAGCCGCGTCGTCCATGATGCCCAGCTGGAAGCGCTGCTCGTCTTGGAAGGTTTTGGCCAGAGCGCTGCGCAGAGCGTCCGATGGGAGCACCTTTTCACTGCTGAACTGGAACTGGGCGAAGATGCTCTGAAACCACAAACGAAAACAGCACCTCAAAGTAAGAAAGAGAAACTGATGCAATCATGCAACTAAGAAATGCTACCGCACACAACAGCTTTCGCCAGCCTGCTCACTCACTGTGGAGAGAAAATACACATCAAGAGAGGAGGGCTGACATACAGTACTGTACTGTTAAAAAAAAAAAAAAACAGTACACTGCAATTCAACCAATCACAGACTCTTTTAGGACAAAACAATAAACAAACACTGTTTCAAAACCTAGTGACTTGCCTACTTAGTCCTTATAAAACATGTTTGTTCAACAATGCAGTCCAAATCGGCAGCTCACTATGTTCTGAAGCAAAATTGCTAAAACTTGCCCAATACTAGTTCATTTATTTACCCAATTTTAAACAAAATAGTCATTCAAAATGGTATAAGTGTTTTAACAGATTTGAATGTCCAAAAAATGGCAAAGAAAATGTTCTAGTTTACCCACCAATTCTGAATGGGCAGCTCAGTACCTTTTGAAACATAGCAAATGTTCAAAAGTAGGCAGTTCACTAGATTTTTAAGCAGAAATATTGGAACATTTCTAATAATTCTGAAAAATGTTGTCTCGTGAGCAGTTCATTAGACTTTAAAATAGCTAATGTATGACATTTCCAATAACGCCCAAAATACAAAATTACCAATTAAGTTTAAGATTTTGATGTTTTAGTAAGATTTTTTTTTCTATGTTTTAAAAGAAGTCTCACCACGGCTGCATTTTTTTTTAATCAAAAATACTCTAAAGTATTTACAATTTAAAATAACTGTTTCATATTGTAATATATTTCAAAGTGTAATTTATTCATGGGACGGCAAAGCTGAATTTCCAGCAGTCTTTACTCCATTCTACGGTGTCACAAGATACTTCAGAAATCATTCTAATATGGTGCTCAAGACATTATAATCAATGTTAAAAACAGTTGTGCTGTTTAGTAATTTTGTAGAAACCATTCAGTATTCTCTGATTAATAGAAAGGTCCAAGAGAACATTTATCCCAAAAAAAAAAAAATCTTTAAAAACATTATAAATTTCTTAACTGTCACTTTTGATCAGTTTAATGCATCGTTGCTGAATAAAAGTACTACCTACTTTACAATCAAATAAAATCTTCCCTATCCCAAACTTTTAAAAGGTAGCGCAAGTAGAAGCTCATTCGTTTTAAAACAGAGAGATTAGTTTTAAACCATACATTCAGACAGATTTATGCCAAACATAAAATTGTGTGGAGTCTCACAGCACTCATTCGATTGGACAAGCTCATCCCTGTAGCACCGGTTGGAAAACATCTAACTAAGATACTGAGCTCATTAACAGTGAACGCTCAAACAAATGCAGAGTCCTAAATGCCTGCGGTGGAATCTATTCTTCTGTCCATCAGCATTGGCACTGTTATTGAACTCAATGAACAATGACTGCAACACAATGCTCTCTCACCAGAGGACATCCTGATAAGCTGAACAAATGGACTCGGGCAAAAGTGCAAAGGCAAATATTCGCTGCGGCATACTGCAGTTTTAAAACCCTCATATATGCGGTGGGCACAGTGCCCAAGGCAGCCCCCTATTTGAAGGTGGGATGGGGGTTTCTCCCTGAGCGGGACAGGCCGGTGGCTCTGGAACAGGTAATGCAGTCTGATGACTGCACTGCGCCAAGGAGAGAAAGAAAGAGAATGGAGGGAGGGTGGAAGAAAATGAGAGAAAGTGTGGGAGGGACAGACGTAGATGGTTATGTACCCCACTGAGGAAACTCGATGAGAGGAAAATTCAGCCACTGCATCATTTCCCCATGCAGCTCTAATCACACACTGCTCTGCCCAGCTCAGAGCCTGAAGTGATTTTCGCCTATGGACATATTTTAATGTCCTCCTCCTTCCCCATCTCTCTCTTGGAGCTGATGAACCACTCAGGACAGATAAGGGCCAATTGGAAGTCTGGTGTGTGTACGCAGCAAATATATCACTCGGGCAATCAGTGCTCAACCAAACTGCAGCTCTGTTCCGCTCTCCTCAGCGAGCTCACATGCTCACAAGTTGCGACAAACTCTGAGCTCAGAGCTGATGTAAGAGAAAAGAAGAAGAAGAAAAAACAACAACTGTTGAACACAAGTTTTGTGTTCTTAGACAAGCAAAGTCTTTCTGACTTGTAAGGGTGGATTTCCTGCAGGGGTTCAGGCTGCCGAATTAGCTAAAGAAACGCTGGCTGGTTATGTATTTTATCAAATATGTATTTTGGATACTTTTTAATGAAAAAAAAGGTACTGACTGCAGCTTTAAAGGCACGAGTATACTTAGTGTTTCATGTTATTCTCCGTCTGGAGCACAGAAGAGCACACAAGCCTATACAAAGTATATTCTACTGAACACTAAATTATCTAAAAATTAATTACATTAACCACAACTCATCTTCCACGAGTGATGTAGGTGGAAGTACGAAAAACTCTCATCTAATTTTATCCTCCAAGTACAAAATCTTCATCAACCTTTTTTTTTTTTTTGTAAAGGGCATTTGACTTAGTCTTTGCACATTCACTTTGTTAACACTGGTTTGGTACTTCTGTCACGTGTGGCCTTTCCAATGTGATTACGTAAGGCGTGAAGTCGTGGACATGGGGGGTGAATAAATTATCAGGAAATTTTAATTCTGGACTAAGTAAGTAATCCTTTCACTTACTACTTGCCTCAAAAAAACCTCTTGATTATCTTTTAAAAACTTGATCCAACTAAGCAAAAATGTACACAAATCCAGAGACTAGCTAACTCTGAGGCTAACTTAAGAAGCCAAATTCCACCATCTTCCCCAGTTTTTATTCTGTTCAAAGAGCTAGCCATGCAACAAATACTAACACATAAACCAGTCAGAACCAGTCGTGACCTTCCCAAAAAGGACATTCATACAAACTTCAAGTTTCATCCACAAGCTGCCTTGAGTTTTTATATTACATTATAGAGTGTGTAGAACTGGGAATCCCATTTGAGGGTTGAGTCGCCCATTTGTGTAATAGCAGGTAATGTAAAGTGTGTCAGTGTGTGTGTAAAGTCCTTCTCATCTCTAACAAGGACATGGAACCCAACTGGACAGGCTCTACTCAAACCATGCAAGTCCAGTCATATGCATTTATACTGAATACATACACACACAAACCACCAGAAATTGTGTTGCAGCTGTGAGCCCTCTCGGGCGTAGCCTGTGAAATAAGACATTAACCTCCACTCAAAGACACTAGACACATATCATCTGCACTGCTCAAAACTCACAAAGGCAATGAGAAAATGTAGACATGCACACACACACCTGACAGGAACAGCAATCTTGTGACGCACGTAAATATATTAATATTAAACACTCCCTGGGCTCAGTTTTCAAATTGCTGAGGGATTGAATCTCATGCTGATTATGAGTTTGTAATTGGGTTTAACTCAATCGCTGATTCGTGCTACATAAAATGGCACAAACATAGAGGTGTCACTGGAACTTCTATAATAGGAAACATCATCGTAATAATGGTGGCGGCTTGTGTGAGTAACTGTGACTTCGCATTTATTTAGTTTGTGTATGCATGTGTGTTTCCTGCCTCCGGGCTGCAGTTCCTCAGCGGGGCCGATGGTCAGTAGAGGTCACCAACCTTAAGGCACTATCACACCCCGTGAAGTGACAGTAATGTGGGCCCTTGCCACCCAATGTCACAATTCAGACTCTGTGACATGCAGCCTCTCTGGTGACAAACATTATAAATGCGATCAGACCATTCAGGTTTATTTATTTAGCACAAAATGGCTAAATTCAATGACATCTAATATTAATGACAACAGTGAGATTTTCTGAATCTTTCTATTTATCAAAGAATCTCCTTGCATAACAGAGATTCAAGTGGCATTTCTTGATGCAGCGTCAGATTGTGTTCAGTGAAAATGGTTTTTCAAATTACTCTTGGCTGTATTTGACAGAGTAGCATGATGGTATCTTGTACAATGCCGTCTGAGGGCTCAAAGGTCAAGCACATTCAACTACTGCCTTAACCAACACAGACTGAGATTTCTCTGGATTCCCTGAATCTTGTGACAATATTATGTATGGAAGATGATGAAAGGCCTAAATGCTTTGCAATCTTGCATTGAGAAATGTGATTTTTTTAATTGTTTGACAATTCTCTCAAGACATTTGGAACAAAGTGATGAGCCACGACCCATCTTTGCTTAAAATGACTGAGAAGCACTTTTACACCCATACATGATATACGTACCCTCAACTATTACAAATTCACCTGCTCATTGTGAACTGTTTCAATATAGTTGGGTAATTTAATTTGGAAAATCTTTTCACTTTTATTTGGTCTCTGTCCCAACTTTGTTGGGGTGTCTTGCAACCATCAAAATCAAAACTTGTTCATATTTACAAAATATAATTATGTTGGTAAGTGAAAACATTGGAAAATATTTCCTTCTACTTTTGTGAGCTAATAAAAAGTTACATAGAAATGAACAAATCACAGATTCTTGATTTTATTGCACTTTACAAAATGTCCCAACTTTTTCAGATTTGGAGTTGTAATACAATCTTACCAACCCCAAACTTGTGCCACCCTCTCATAAAAACTAGTAATACCTAAACGTAAAGTAGTTGATAAGTTGAAAATGCATTGAAATCAAAGTAAATCAGTAAACAACATTGGCCAAATGTTGCATTCTTGTGCAAACAATCAATATAAGATTTTTCATCTCCATAACCCTCAGCTCTAGCCTGACTTCGTCATACTCATATTCTAGTCAGAATACAAGTCTGATAATGCTCTATAAGGCTTTGAAATTTAAGGTGTGTCTTAACCGAACCAGGAAAAAAAAACTCTAAACTCGATTGGATTACAACCAATCAGAGCAACGCCGTGAATGACGTTGAGCTAAACATAGTTGTCAGCAGAACTCAACTGCAGGCATGCTGGAAGAAGTAGTAAAATAAAGAGTTTTGCTTCTTTTACTTGGTCCTCCATGAGCGTGACCAAAAGAAAAACCACAACGACCACAGGGCTTTCATTGCATCCCATCTGCTTAGCGACCATTGATGCCAGCTGATAAATTCAACCTTTGCCAACACATCTTTCAGATCGACAAATGCCTTGATTGCAGTTCTCTGTTCTTCTTTTAAAATAATGCGCTGTTGATTTCTTTTACAGCAGACGTGATAGCAGAATCTATACATCTCAATTCTCCAGCTGCAGTCATCTTTGAAGGAAACCAGTTCACCCAAGCATGTTTTGATAACGTGATGATTACGTAACTGCAGATCATCCGTCCATCATCGTATGAAGCCCGCCTTGACAACTCGATTGGCTCGATTGGCTTGATTTCTGAACCGATCATAATTACTCCACAATGTATCGAGTCTAGACCGAACTTCCCGATCAAAAAAAAAATGTTGTGGGCGGGCTGGCATCCCGGCTACCTCAGCTCATTTACATCTCAGTAAATGAAATGATATTCCCCACAGTCAGAATGCCTCAAATAAATACATTTCTAGAATTCCACAGTTTGTAGAAAGGAGCGATGTGGTGAGGGCATATTTCAGCACTCATTAGTGGCATAAGATCATTAAATTTCAATAACATGGCTGGCAAGCAGGCGGCTGGCGGGCGACATGCGTGAGGAACTCTCATAACCAATCGGCCGAAACTAACGTTCCTCTATTAGAAATTAGAGAGGTGACATAGCGAATTCCATTCAAGGCTATGGCATGGGACAGCCAGAGCCCACTTGAGATCACATGCCACCAGTCCACAGAGGGTTTGGCTGGAATGACCCTCAGAGTAAGGCATTTAGCTTTACCACAGAGTAACCTTTTAGCACAAGGCCTAAACAGAAGCATGCCATCATATTATTGAGAGAAAAACATAATGCTGTCTTAACACTGTTGAAAAATGATACAGTCAACTCAATGATATATATCATTTCAGGTACAAGACAAACTATTTTGAGAACCACAGTCATTCCTTTTTCCATTCAAAACATAATGGATGCTTAAAGCTTGTTTGCTTGGACACAATTAAAATTAAAAGTATCTTTCTAAGTCTGCAATTTTGTTCTTAATCACCTGGACAATACCAATTGCTTTTAGTCCCCGAATGGTTTAACGGTGAACAGAAATGGAGCTAAATTTAGCAACAGGTTTAATACAGCGATAAAACAGAAGCCAGAGAGAAACAGCAAGAGTGTGAGTGACGAAGAAAGAATGAAAGACCAGAAGGACAGGCAGTACAGATCCTGGTAAACGGTCATAAATCCTGGCAAATATGTGAAAGCGTTCTCATGATTCGGCTTTGTGTCACCCAAGCAGAGTGATTTCTGATGCCTCAGCACTTCACACACTTCATTTAGAGAGAGAGCCCATTTCAATCACTGTGATGGATTTCACACAGGCTCATTTGTGTTTCATATCAACAAACTAGCCCAGAGAAAATATCTATGTATCTATCTAAAGATAACAGTCGTTCAAACTCAAGATTGCCGGTGTGACGCAGCTGTGCTAATGGTGGAGAAACAACCTAAATTGCCAATTTCTCGAGTGGCACCAGCTCATAAAAGAAAGACGGGTAAAAGGAAAAAGACCGATATAGATAAACAAGCAAAAAAGAAAGAATTAGACACAGAGCCCATTGACTCGGTGTCAAAACTCTAGCCGCGTAACATGTAGATAAAATGTCACGCACTGTGCAAAGCAACTATTGAAACCTGCTAATTCAACCCGATCTCACGGGAATTCATACGAATTTGACGAGGTGGCTAATTCGTAACAATTCACACGACCTCACTCGTACAAATTAGTACCATTTTGCAAAATCGTACATATTTTATGAATTGGCCAATTCGTATGAATTCGTACAAATGACATACCCCTGACCCCGCCCCTAAACCTAACCATCACGTGGGTTTAGACAAATCGTATGAATTCGTACGAGTGAGGTCGTACGAATTAGTACGAATTAGCCACTTTTTAATCGCTCGTACGAATTCGTACGAATTGGTCGTGAGATAGGGTAGGCTAATTCACTATCTTGTCATGTTGCTGAAATAATGTTGTGGTGAGCAGGACGTGGCAGAGGGATTTGAGAGATAATGAGCAACACCTGTGAGACGCACTGGTCTCTTATCTCTCACGAAGGAGCGGAAGCATAACGCAACGAGTGTGGAGATCGAGAGAGGAACAGGCCTGATTTTACGTTATGATTTTATGTTCCGTTTTGTGTGCCAGCAGTCGTTCGTGAGGGGCTGCTGGCTTATACTTTCATTTGGTATTTGTTTATTTATTAATAATTATTAAACTTGTTGAACGTTCGCCGGATCCCGCCTGCTTCTTCCCATTGCAACTGAACCCGGTTACAAATGTACTAGCAAACCTTACCTAGCATTAGGCCAACATATCGCTAGAATAATTACTTGCATACACCGTTATATTATCTTACTATCTATTTATAACTTATAGAAAGGGTGCAATGTTATAAAGTTACATTACATGTATTGCAAAATACATAATGATTTGAGGACCAAGTTTGTAGTCAAAGTATGGGCAGGCCCTAGTCAATGTAAAGCATATTGATGTTTTATCCCTAGTGAATGTGCCATTACTGTTTATCCATTATGCTTACAAAACTATAGATCACTGTAGCCAGACACTGGGTTTAACTTGGTTTCTATGATATTTCCTCTTTTCTTTGTACTGTTGTGTATGTGCACACGCATCGCAACGTCATCGGTTACTGTGGTCGGGACAAGAGGTGTGGTGTCTGGATTAAATTAGTAGTTCACTTTAAAAAAAAAATTTTGCTGATAATTTACTCACCCCCATGTGATCCAACATGTCCATGTCTTTCTATCTTCAGTCCAAAAGAAATGAAGGTTTTTGATGAAAACAATGCAGGATTTTTCTCCATATAATGCACTTTACTGGTAACCAAATGGTTCAAGATCCAAAAGACACTTTCAGTGCAAACTGTTCAAAGGACTTTAAACGATTCCAGACGATGAATAAGGGTCTTATCAAGCGAAACGATCGCTCATTTAATAAATAAATAACAAAGTCTAAGTTTAATAAGCTCAAATGGTCCTGTTCGAACTCTTTCATCAAAATGAATGAATCTGCTGTGGCGTTTGGTTGGTTTAGTGATTTTAATACGCCGCAATAATCACTATACACCATTGCAAGTCTTACTGCATACACATCACTCATTCTCCTTGCAAAATATTTAAAAAAAACAATATTTTATGGTATTTTATTATTTTATTTAGCCATGTAATAAGGATATTATATAATCAGCCAGTTACATCTATCCATCTATATATTGATCCATCTAACCATCCATCAACCAGAACCAAATACATAAAAATTAAAGACTTTTATAGACCATAGAGTTTCTCTATCATCATAGATGCAGCCCTATGAAATAATGTCAGTTTGATGTCTGCAACACCCAATTCAACATAGTCAACAAATCGCTTTAGTTGAGAGATTATGTCGAATCTCACAAGTAAAGCCAACCAACTCCAAGGAAACCAAGACCAAAAGGCACAGACTGTATTTATGACATCATGTGGGCGTGACACTAAGCTATCAGAGAACAGAGTAGCCAAGGTAACAGGTAGCCTTGGAAACAATGGAGCAGAACCCAAGCTTACATCTGTAGAGGAAAAGATACAAAAATGGTGTTCACATCCCAAACACTCAGGTGGAGAACAACTAAGTGATAAAAACAAATAAAGAAGTGTGAAGTCCACACACAGAAAATGACTGCTCCAAAGGAATTTATTAAAAGGCAATGTTTCCACCCTCGGGTCTTCCAGGTCGAAACGTTGACTTTTAATAAATTCCTATTCCTATTTATTTGTTTGCATCTGTAGAGGAACCAAGTGTTCATCACAGAGAGAGCAAGATCCCTGGACATGAAATAAAGTGGAAAATCACCCAACACCAAAACAAGATTAGATCAGACACAAAGTAAAGAAAGAAAAAGACCTCCCGATCCATTCGCCTATTTGTACTTCTCCTTTTCTCTCAAGCATAAACACAGCCAACAAGAAACGTTGGTATTTTTGGAAACAAATGGCCAAGTACATTTCTGACGGCAAAGATTGCTTTTAACACAAAACAAGCCTTTTAAAGAAAGAAATATGTCAGTTTTGTGACTTCTTACTGGTATGTGACACCTTTAAATAGCACAGCTACTTTTAGCCTGAGGGTGACTAGAGAACAGAATATTGTTTGAGTGAGAGGCCTTTGCTTGTTATTTAAAAACAGACCCAAGTTGCTTTTCCTAGCATACTGTACTGTATATCTCCCTCTCCTCCACCTCCCATCTCTATCAGCTGCCAGGCAGGAAATTAAAAAGACTTCCTCAAAAAGAGAGACAGTGCTCTTGATGTTGAGAATCTCATTTCCATTCTATTCCTGTGCTACAGTAAGGTCAGCAAGGAAGTCAATTAGTCCGAGCAGCCTCTACCCTTACCTTGCTGGATCATTAGAAGAGCAGCCTGGGCACTCTAAGAGACTCCTGTAGCCTCAAGCTACTTTTCTGAGAAGGCAATACTAACAGGAAGTACCTTTTGATTTGCAATGCACAACAGGGTGCTTTTTGGGAGGACCTGGTAACACTCACCTTCAGAGCGCAGAAGATGCACGAGTCCTCCATGCACTTGTGGGTGTTCAGTTGACGGAAGCTTCTGCGGAAGATGTCAAGATGCCAAAGGACCTGTGGTCAAGAGAACAGAAGGGTTAAGTCAACCACTGAAGTGCCCATCAACAAAAACATCTCATCAATGACCCACATTTTATAGAGAAACCACCACTATTCCAGATGAAAAGACCATGATTTTTCCCACCTTGGAATACAGTTTTTTTTAACTAGCTACTAGTAAGAATTTCTTGGCAACTTCACCAGAAAGACCATGCTGGTTGACCAGTATTTTTGGTTGTCATATATTATTATATATTATATTATATATTGAGCAATATATTGTATGTTTTGGGCACGCGTATGGCTCACCTGCTAGACCAGCACAAAACCAACATGGATGACCACCAACCAGCACAGCTAGCAAACCCCCTATACGTATTTTCAATATCATACATGCAATTTCACATTTTCATAGCACCACACAAACAGCATTGCAAAAATTTTCCAACACACTTTGTCTGCTTCCATTGTTCAGGCCAAAAACAAGCAGGTTCCAACCTATCACAAACTCCATTAGTCAGGCTTTTCAGGATATCCATGCAAATTAAACAACATTGAAAGTTCCACATAGCCACAGTCTTTACTTTTTTGGTAAAAGCAACATACCAACAGATGGCTTCCCTTCTTTGTTGCCTCTGCACAGGACACTGGGACAGCAAAAAGTAATTTAACATACAAAAAAACAACACTCTCACTCACCCTCGGGCAGGTTTTCACATTACAAAAAACAGCCCAGAGGCTTCCTGGCCCCGTCCCACAGCGATCGGCCAATATCTGCACAATTCTCCAATCCTGTCAATAAATATGAGCCAGTCTTGGCTGTTGCCCTCACTCTGATCATCTGCCAGCTGTCCACTCCACTTAATCCTCTCAGCAGACCAGGAATCCAGCACTTCCAGTAGCCGTCCCGGCTCCGGCAGAGGTTCAGACCCGAATCCCGGTAGAATGGGAAGACAGGGAGGAGAAAGGATGGAGCGGAAGACAGTGAGAAATAGAGATGTGGGAACACAAACTGTCTGGGAGAGAGAGGTGCGATCGCACATGAGGAAGAGAGACGAAGAGGGAACGAAGGAAGGGGAGGGGGAAAGATAGAGCGAGAGAGAGAGAGAGATATGGTGAAGTGCGTAAGAATAAGAATGCGTGTGGAACGCAGAGGGGGAGATTGCTGCAGAGATATGAAGCTATGAATAACCGAGACATGCGGTACACGCTGCGGATCAGAGTTGTTTGGAGTTCACCTGCCCCGGGCACAACTCTCACTCATCATATAGAGCGAGACGTAGAGATCCTGCAAAACTAAAGTGGAACAAACAGCGAGACTGCACCTTTACCCGCAAGCAACCATCTGGACCTGCACACACACACACACCCGGTTGATCAAAGCTTTATCCATTCCTAATGTATCTAGCACTGCCAACTGGGCCCGAACACAAACCCATAATATCATCATCATCCAAAACTGGGCTTAAACACAAACAGACCACACTCATAACAGATCAGCATTGTTCTTCAGGAAAGCAACAAAAAAAGGACAACAATGCAAAAAAGAAGCAAAATCTCACTTTGTGTGGAAATCAGTTTTATCTGCTAACAATGCAGGAATACCATGCTCAGCTTGGGAAGATGGGCTTGTGATTGTACAATAGCCTGTACCATACCTTACTGATAATAATAAACTAAGGCACCAACACCATGTACGTAGTAGCACATTTAGTCCTAAATATAGGGTCAAACATAGCAATTGTTGAAGCAGATGCCAAGCAAAATAAAACTTTAGTAAAACTTACTAAATAGTAATGCCGAACAACATGTTAAAGCAGTTTTTTTTTTTTTCAATTATTTAAAAGGATTAATATTTACCATATTATTCTGAATATAAGATGACATCTTGATTTTTCAAGATGTAGCTTTTGGAAAAAGTTTTTTTTTTTTTTTTTTGATGACCAAATCTTATATCAAATATTTTATAAAGAAAATGATTTTATTTGAAAGTCTTTCATATTTTAATTAATTTTTATATTCAAATGATGTCAAATACTGGCAAAATGTACCGAAAATCACATTTAAAATTAAATACTAACAGCATACCATAAAAAAAACTGTAGTTCTCATTTCCAATAGCTTTCACAATAACTGATTTCTCACATTTTTTATTTACAGTGACAGATATGTCAAAAATCACAGGTGTTGATCCGCATTACCTATCTGTTCCAAGGAATATTAATGTTTTTTTTTTCCTTAGGCCTATCACATAGCGCTGAAAAGACAGCAGTTTCTCCCTGATGTTGGAGGGCAAGCACTGGGGCAAGACTGGTTTACGCGGCATCATTTTCACGCAGATTTAAAGCAGTTGCTTAGAAGAAATTGACAGACAAGTGTGTCAGCATGTAGCCAAAATAAGAAATAAGGGGTCTCGCTAGTGGGTATGTTCAGCACTTGCTTGTCATTTCTTTGAAGGAGACGCTTCCAGGACCGCGGTACGCTTTTCTTTGGCATTTTTAAGACAGTTGGGTTCGGCATCGTCTAACAAACACATTTTCTGATGAAAAGAGAAAAAAAATACAGTATTATATTTGGAACAATATGTTTTCCAAAACGATGGTAGATTATTAAAAAAATAGTCCTTTAAACTGTGCATGCATATTTTTTCTAACAATTTATTTTTGAATTTTGCTGTTCCTCAGCTTCTATGGCTTTATGGGATAGCAAAGTGTCAACTGGTGGCACACTTGAGAATCCTTCCAGTTTCCAGATACATTGTTCACCAACTATATCATGAATACTGAGCATTCTAAAGTTCTACTTGACATACTCCTTAATGCATATTCTCTAGCAGGGAAGTACACATAAATTTGGACATAATTTTGGGCGTGTGATGACAGAAATCTATAGCATCCTGCTGTGATTCTTCATGTGGTGACACATTTGCTGCCCTCTATACTTCAGAAAGCCATCGCATTAACCTGTGCGTGCAACTCTCCAAAGCTATTCTCCTCTGAAATAAGGCAGAGACAAACAAACAGGGAAATAATCACAAACAAATCGTTGAGTAAAGGGCTCTCCTGAGACTGGTGGAAAATAAATAGATGCGTTTCGTAACTAATGTACAAAGCATCTGCATTAGGTCCGAGGAACAAAGAACGCTAAAGCCTCTTTGATTGGGCTAAATATGTGGAATGGGATTATATAATGCTTTTTTCTCTCCTTCTAACACTCCCACTTTTTTTTTTTTTTCAAGCACCCACTTTATGTCTAAGTATTATGAAATGGTCCTTTGGGTGTTTACCTAGAGTCAGGATGTAGATAGATAGCCATGCTGTTACTACATAAAACATTACACCCCTATCCTTAACACATCAAATGGCTTTCTCATGTCAATTCAAATGCTAACACACACACACAAGCATATTTAAACATGCACACCAAAGCAAAGCTCTGGAGTATCAGCTCTCTTCTCTGTTCCCGAAAGCCCCGTGGCAGCACTACATGATTGTCAGTTCAGTCTCAGGGCAGATTTGCTGCTAGTTTCTGCAGCTCTTAAGCCTGGCCTGGTTTGCTCTCAGCAGCACATCCTCAAAAAGCTCTGCGCTCATGTACTCCGACCTGCATGCCCTTGCTTTTTGCTCATTTCAACTCTCTCTCTCTCTAAAATAAAATGTAAAATTTGACATGGTGCTGTATTAGTTCATAAGTTCTTTGTTACTATATACAATAAAAGTTCTGGCGCATGATCCAGGTGGATGCTGGACATTGCTGGTGGTTGAGGAGAGTTCCCCTTCAATGTAATGCACTAACAGTTCAGAGAAAAGTGCTATATAAATGTAATAAATTATTATTTTTATTTTTTATTATTATTATTAAATACATTTTAATTTCTAATTTCTGTCAACAATATATTAATTGCACGCTATAATCTTTGCATTTAATCCCGGATAAGACTCGTTTAACATGATCTACCCACTTTTTTTTTAAATAATAAACTGGCAATATTCCTTCATTTAAACAACTGCAATCAATCTGAACTAAGACTGGAGATCGTATCAGAAAGAAAAGTGAATGAAAGCATTGCAAGCATTAAAAAATAAAGAAAAAAATAAAGCACAAATAGTATTACTCAAATCATTATTTAATTTTTTATTCACAATCAAAAACCATTTCTTTCAATGACATTATTGATTTGAGTCACCGTAGTTTGCAGTAGTTCTTAAGCCATGATAGTTAATGAATGTCGTCTTCCTGTGAATGTCAGCGGTAACAAAACAAGCGTGACAGTAAACAACACAAAGAGCAACATTCATCTCTAAGTGTCATTTGACTCAACAAACCCGATCTGTGGAAATGAGACAGACGGGGTCATAAAATGCATATAAAAGTGTCCGTCCACTAGTCAAGAAGCAAATTAACTTGGACAGAAAGCAATTTATATACAGATGTGGTCAGAATTATTGGTACCCCTAGTAAATATGATTAAAGATGGCTTTAAAAAAATACATCTGCAAATGATTATCCTGATCTTTCATTAAAAAATAAAAATCCCCAAAACCTAACCTTTCATTTAAAGGGATACTTCACCTCAGGAAAGATGAATGTGTATTTAAAATGGTCATTTATGTAGAAGAAATGTGAAATTATTTTTGAATTTGGAGCTTTCTAGACTGAGAAAAGCCAGAAAATGTATTTTTTGGCTCACGTGGAAGAAAGACAACAACTCCCAGAATGCACTCGTTTCACTGCCCTAGGAGGCCACGCCTAACGGTAACAGAGCATAGTAGTTAAACAACAAGTCTAGGCTACAAGTGAGTCTCCGTGATGAGTCTGCCCGAAAACGTGTTTCAAGATCACCCAAAATGTCCGGGATTCGGCTCTTGCGTTCTACAGTCGCCGTTTACGGTGGCGAGCAGGGCGAGGCTAGGGCCGTCTGGAGAATGACTCGAGGCCGGTGGCATGATTACCGATGAGTGACACCTGTGAGACGCACCGGTCTCGTATCTCTCACAGAGGAGCAGCGATTTTCT